ACTTCAGAAGAGGGATTTTCAAAAAAAAATGACGATACACACGTACACACACATCTACCAATGGAGGCCTTGGAAAAATTATACAATCCAATTTTTCAGACCATCCTTAGATATTCGGAATTAGAATTTAGAATAGAAAAGAATGTAAATTTGGATTTTATCGAAAGGAATTCTCTCATTTCAACACAACAGCTCATTACGCTATCTTGTAATTAGATAACGAATGATTCTATTCTTAACATCTTTTAACCTAATTAAGAAGGAATTTTTTCGAGCCATAATTTGATTGATTTTCGTGAGGTTTTTTTCAGAAATCATTGAAAAACCGACTGTTGAAAAAATCATACAAAAATTGCAGGCGGCTGTATCTTTGATACAATTGTAATTGTACGTGGATACGTCCATGGTCTTCCCTTCTTTCTCGAATTTCTTAGAAACTCCTTGAATTTTTTCGAAATTTCAAGAAACTTCTCAAATTCACGGACGAAAAAATTTAATAGAAAAACCTATTGAATTTGTTAGAAAATTCTATTGAAATGTTCAATAGAAAATATTCAGTAGAAAAAGTCAATAGAATTCAATTTTTCTATAGTATAACTTATTCTATTGAGATATTATCTACAGAATTTCCTCGGCTCAAATTTTCCAAGTTTTTTCGTTTGATTTTCTTGATGAGAAAAAAAGAAAGATAGAATGAAAAAAACTTAGAAAATTTGAGTCGAGCAAATTCTATAGAAAATATATGAAAAGAATAAGTTATATAGAAAAATAGAATTCTGTTGACTTTTTCTATTGAATGTTTCCTATTGAACATGTCAATAGAATCAGTCAAAAACTAATAGAAAGTTTAATAGAAATTCAATAGAATTTTCTAGAAATCCGACAGATGCCGCTACACATAAGGACCGTTTCCCAAAATGACCCCCCCGTATTGAAACCACAGACCATAATATCCACGTCAACAAAATGCTGTAACTCGACAACGGTGGTATTCCCATCATATTCTCATACACTGATAGAAAGGATTAGTTATTCTGAACGAATGAATTTGGTTGGAGACGAGAGTCAATTCGGTCTCACCAAATGTTCATTCGTTAATAGTTAACAAATGTACATTTGAGGAGCCTTGATTGACTCGATTTTCACCTTTCAAGTGAACCATTCGTTAACTATTAACGAATATTTATTTCTTCATATTCAACTCTATCATTCGTTAATAATTACCGAATCTCGTTTGGAATAAATGAATCATTTTATTAGTGTAGAATCAACAGGCCACTGACATAGTTTTTAAGCCATGATTAAATCCCTTTTCAGTAATGATTTTTAGAGTAATCGCTTAATAGTCGATTTTTGGAAAAATACCGTCAATGTCCCAGTGACAATAACCCTGTTTCTGCCACCATCAAGGGCGTCAAATGATTTTGAGAGAAAATCAATTCAAAATTTACCGAAAACGAATTGTTCTCATCCATCTGAGAATAAGATGTATCGCAATTGGACAGTTATTTTTATTGGTTTATAAAAATTTACAATAGATCTCATAACAGGGTTATTTACACTGTCGATAGGGTCTCATACATTTTCTTTTTACATTGGTTTTTGTTATGTTTTTTTTTATACATTTCGCCTTTTATATGCGGACCTTACATTTTGTGAAGAATTTGTGTATCGCTGTGAGAGCTTCTGAGTCAGTTGCCGCCATGAACTGGAAAGTCCAATACGGAGAAAAATATTTCAATGATCTCAGTTTGGCTATTAGTTCTGATCTCTGGGGATTCAGAAGGGGACATTGAATTGGGCAGTTGTAGAAACTTTTTCAATCTACAGATTGAAAATAGTAATTGCCACTTTTAAACAGATCCTGGACTCCTCATAATTATAATTATAATTATGGATCTATGAATAAATGGATCATTCTATCAGTGTAAATCTATTTTTGCGATAACAATTTTTCATTCCGGCGTACTCTCCGCATGTTTGGTACAAAATAGTATATTTCGTAACGAGTGCAAAAAAGTGTTTTTTGGCGAGTGGGAGGTTTATATCACGAGCCGAAGGCTCGTACGAGCTAAAAAACATTTTTTCACGAGTTACGAACAATATTTTTCATCACAATGCGGCGGAAATCGGACTTTTAGGCACGCGGAGCGTGCCGAAAAGTTCACTTTTCGTCACAGCGTGATGAAAAAATCCTTTTAGATAATTTTCAAGAAACTATTTTCTTGGCCCAAATAAGACTTGTTTGAGAACTTTGTCGTTTTTCTTTCAGTGCAGGGTTCGGGACGAGGATGGAGCTGGTATGAACCCCACAAAAGAGTCTTTTGAAAAGATCAAGATACTCTACTAGGCGTGAGTTCAATTCCCAGGCATCTCCTTCTAAGAATGAAGGTCCTCATTACCTCCTACACCTCCTGATATTGGAAGTAACACGACTGTTCAGGGGGTAATCAGGGTAAATATTTGGGAAATTGTTGTGTTATCACTTGTCTTAAGGAGGTACAACGACGAAATCACAAATCGAACGGTGCTTTTCGAAATAACGGCGATCTTTGTGTGAAACCGCGAAATCGACGTAGGGTGAATCGTCCAGTGTTCGAACGAATAAGGTCACAGTTATTTTTGACGTAGATTTAAAAATATAACCAAGTCGAAAATTGATTTAAAAATAATTATAACTTCCCTGTACATCTCCATAGATAATAGAAAAAAATATTATGGATATTAATTGACGATACAATTACTGATATAAATAGAGAACGCTAAAAATGTGTGAAAACCCAGTAATCGAAATGCGTATTCTGTAATGGGAATATGCTATTGGCGGCGTGTCATCGAAAACTGTTTTTTCCGCTGGTAATAAGGTAACTTAGATATTTTCAATCATCACAATATCATTTGGAAATGTCATAATTTTATTTTTCATGTATAATGCGAGGCATCTCTACCTTCTACTAATTTATTCTATAGAAAAAGTATCAATTAATTCGATTACTGGTCTGGTACGAACACTGGTTGGTTCACCCTATCGCGTTAAATCGCGGTGTTAACATCTTTGTGAATGGTATAAACTCAGTTGAAATTAAAGTTTAGACTTCCCGTGGGTACCGTTACCTCTTAAGGAGGTAAGGCTGCGAAATCACAAAACGAACGGTGTTTGTTTTCGTTTTTTTTTAACGAAACTGCGTTACCATGTAAGCTGATGATATATTTTAATGTTAAGGATTTTTATCCAAAATCGCAAGTACTTAAAAAAATTGATTTTTTAAACTGAGAGATGAAGCTATTCCTTTCATTTTGATACAAATTTCAATCCACCAACCCATGTTCATTATGTAGAAATGAAATAGTCAAAATGCACCAATTGCATGCGCTAACATGCGCTTATATGGGATAGAATCATTCAAATATTTCCTCTTTTTGCCCGGCTACCCCAGATTTTTCTCTGGCCATTGGATTCAGTATGATTTTATACATTAGCTTCTATTTTCATTTCTATTTTTAGAGTATTCTAGTAGGTGAATTATCAATTTGAACATAAATTTCATAAGAGCCCGTGTATGGGGAAAAATTAGTTTATTCATTTCTGCCGAGACTATTGCGATTAATTTTTTTTTAACGTTAGCAAAGTTAGTTTTAGATGTTCTGCTGTCAACCGAAAAAATTACAGAATTTCCCATGATTATTTTTCTCACTCTGATTTCAGCCAATCAGAGCGCAGTATTTGAGGCTGTCAAACAGTTTTATTTCGGGAATTTTCCTCATCCAAATGTCAGCCAATAGAATTGCACTATTCGACTGTTATTTCATATAGTCAACACGGTATTCAGCTGATAATTTTTGATAATTTAACTGGTAATTTTTCATGTTGACTATATTTGTGGAAAACAAGATTCCGTGGTCGAGTGAACCCCTGGTTGGAACTGTCAGATGGATTTTGTCTCATAGTGCAATTCTTTTGGCCGACATTTGGATGGGAAAATTTCCTCCCGAATACTACTCGAGCTTCAAAATTAATCGAGTAATTCCCTCAAGGTTTCCTGCACACAAACGAAGTTAAAAAATCACGAGTGCGAAGCACGAGTGATTTTTCCTGAAAAACTTGACTCGTTCGTTTATTTGCAATGAACCTATCGGAAATTGCTCGATAATTCTGAAGCTCCCGTGGTATTACTTGCGAAAATTTCTAAAAAATTTCCGTTTAATATTCTTTGTGACAGATAAACAAAAAAGTGGGTTGTAAATGTATGGCTGTGTAAAATGTATCCGGATGCTGTTCACTGCACTCTACTTGACCGATATCCGGGTGGAAAAATAATCCGTCAAATACCACTCGTGCTTCAAAATGAATGGATATTTTCCTCAAGCTTCCCTACCTAGGAACGAGTGTCCTAGGCATTCAATTGATAGGTTTAAAATCCCGAGTGCGAAGCACGAGGGATTTTTCTGCAAAATTTGACACAATCGTTCCTAAGCAACGGAGCTATCGGAAAATATCCGATAATTTTGAAGCACTAGTGGTATCTACTGAAAAAAAAAACACATTTACCAACAATGGCTAAACATCCTTAAACAGAAAAATCTCCATAAGAGCCCATGTATAAGAATTGATTTCAATCGTTAATAACTTAAAAAGGAAATCTGAAAAAATTTTATGAAAATTCATAGATAATTCAATTGCGATAATAAACATTCTATATAAATTCCAGATGAATGCCATTATTTACCTTTTTCGCACGAAACACCTTAAGAACTTTCAACTCATTATGATAAAATTCCAAGACTATCAAATTTCGCCGCGTTTCCTCTGCTGAACAAAGAAGAAGACCATCAATACCGACACCGACATGATAAAAGAGATTCTTAACGCTGTATGAATCCGTTACCATTAGAAGGCTAATTCACATCACAGCTGGTGGTGCCTCAAGCAGCAAGTTCTCCAAGCTGGCATTTCCTGCAAGTGTCTAGTATTTTACGGGACAGAGTGGCTAGTGGCAGCCGGCACGTGCGATACATGGATTGGTTGTCGTGCATGGATTGCCTTGTACATTGTGCATTTAGTGATTTACAATTTTGATATTGGAACATTTAGTACATAAGAGACTCCAGGGTAACGTTTAAAGTCCACCGAATTTGAAAATTTGACGCCAACTATCAAGACTTCACCATAAATTTTCATCAACATATTGATTTTGCAGATGTGGCGCATTGGTATCATCTGTTTACTGTTGGTATCCTCAAACACAGCGAGTCCTGGCAAAAAACGGAGCAAATACGTAACAACACTGATCAACGCTAATTGGAGGGACACTCCAATTATTCTAGAAGCAGCTGAGTATTTAAACGATAAGAATCCCAATTATTTTTGGAAATTCATAGATACGGTATCTCGCAACAGCGATGCAAATGCTCTTGATGCTCATGAAGAAACAGATAAAGAGAGATATGATAGATTAATTAATCATACGAGTAATTTTCTCACATCAACAGAGAATGCTCTCCTCAAATTATCGCTGTCCCTCAGGACTTATTCCGCTCGCATCGAGATGTTCTCACAAATGGGCGAGAATAGAAGAACCGAAAAAGTTGAAGCCTGCAACAATTTTGTTGATGTTCATGGAGAGCTGACGTGTAGTTCCGATGAAGTAGAGAATTTGTTAGAATCCATAGAGAATAGAATTGATGGTGATGATGATGATGACGAGGAGAGGACTGTGTATTCGCTGGATCATCAGTATCCAGTGCCACTGTCAGGACAATCAGAATCAGGAGGGAAGTCAAAAATAACTGGTAAATATGTGATTCTTTACGGGCAAATTGGATCCGTTGGCTTCAGCGATTTCCACGAAAAATTGAAGGGCTTAGCTGACGCCAAAAAAATCGTTTACATCCTTCGACATTACGTCAGAGATCGTCCAGAGCATCATCTGAGATTAGGAGGATATGGGGTTGAACTGCACATGAAGTCTACAGAGTACAAAGCAACTGATGACTCAGACATCAAAGATAATTCGGGAAAAGAAGAATATGAGAATGAAGGGGTCGAAGAAATCAATGGAATTAACTTTGGTGTACTGAGAAGTCTTTATCCGGACAAACACGCAGAGCTTGACAAATTTGAGAAACATCTTCTTGAGACGAGCGATGAGATTGGGGCTTTAAAAGTCTGGCAGTTCCAGGAACTCAGTCACCAGGCTGCCGAAAGAATAATGAAATCTCCGTCGCAGGAGGCTATAAAAGTCCTCACAGATATTGCTCAAAACTTTCCAATGCAGGCGAAATCATTAATTCGTACTAAAGTCAGTAGTGAGATGAAGAAAGAAATAAAGAGAAATCAAGAGTTGTTTTTTGGAAATTTGCATATCCAACCAACAGACACAGTATTGTTCATAAATGGTCTCTTCTTCGATTTAGATACAATTGACATTTTAGGATTACTGGAGACCCTTCGAGCTGAGCTCACAGTGATGGAAACACTCCACAAAATCGGAGTGAGCAGCAGCAAAATGGAGAAACTCCTGGCTCTAGATCTGTCTGGCTCTCATTCCTCAGACAATAATCAAGATTTTGCCATTGACATCAGGGACTCTGCAGTCATTTGGGTAAACGATCTGGAGAATGATTCACGGTACAACCGATGGTCTCCAAGTTTAACGTCACTGCTGCGTCCAACTTTTCCAGGGATGCTGAGAAATATTCGGAGAAATCTGTACAATTTGATTCTCATCATAGATCCACTGAGCCCTCTTTCGAAGCCCCTGATAGCGACTGCAGAAACACTTTACGCACATTCAGCACCGATCAGAGTTGGATTTGTCTTCAATACAAATTTTGATCCGTCGTTGACAGGACAGAGTGATCCGAGCATCGCCGTCAACAATGCTTTTCATTATTTACTCGAGAGTAAAAGTGCCAAGGAGGCTGTTTACTTTCTCTCAGTTTTACTGAACGACATTGAGAAGAGGAAATCTTCTGGAAACAACGATAATGATTCGTCTGAAAATGGGGTGGAAGTATCTGACGTCGTAAAAGCCCTGCGATCGAGAGACCCATCGGCAGATGTTGACGATATATTCGGCGAAAATTCAGACTACGATGTCGGAAGACCCTGGGCTGATGATTTTATCAGGAGGACTGGTTTCAAGGTTTTCCCCCAGGCACTATTGAATGGTGTCCCACTGGAAGGTATCTCCAGTATAGTGGACGGTGAGTCCCTCGAGGACATTATTTTAAAAATGATTTTTTCCCAGACACCGATGCTGCAAAAAGCTGTTTACAAAGGCGAAGTTACTGAAGGGGATGACATCGTTGATTTCATGATGAATCAACCGAACGTTATGCCAAGATTGAATGAGAGAGTGCTTAAAAATGATAAGACACAGTGGCTAAACTTAGTTGGGGAAGTGCCCACTACGGAGGACGTATCCACGTGGGGTCCCGAGGATACTTCAGCTTGGATTATCAAAAACTCGAACTACTTGTACATGCCGAGGAGAAAGAAGTCCCAGCATCTTTACACGTACTGGATTGTAACGAATTTGGAACATCCGGATGGGAGGCTGTTACTCCGCGAAGCTTTGGAGTATCTCAAGTCTAATGCCGACGCGAGATTAGCAGTCATTCTCAACAGCAATGTTGATCAAGACGACAGCGTTAACATTAGTGTAAATAAAATCGTCCTGTCGGTATTGAGCGCTGATTATCCAGCAGAAAACCACAATAAAATTATTCGTTATATTCAGGAGGTGATAGGGGAGAAGAACGCTGCTTTGATTGAAAAGGGAGAGTTTGATCGTAGTAAATACCATGAACACATCGGGACTGATTTCGATGAGAACGCGAATCATGAGTTTATGCTGAAGGTCCACAAGCATTTTGCTAATATTGTGTTGAGAATGGATGAATCCTCGACGACTCAGCGTGCTGTGATATGCAATGGAAGGATCATTGGACCCTTGGATGATGGGGAAAATTTTTCGAATCAAGATTTCGCACTGCTGGAGCGTTTTAGTCATAGTACGTATGGGGAGAAACTCATCACCAATTTGGAGAAAATTCATGCGAGTGATGATGAAGAGGAGCAGGACATCTCTGATGACGTTATCATGGAGATAGCATCTTTACTTGTACCAAGACTACAGACACGCAGCCGATACGAGGTGCTTTCAGGTGGAGAGGACCACAGTGTTGTCAAAATACCTGCCAGTAATCCTGATCAAGTTGCTTTCAATATAATTGCTATTGTGGATCCGGTGTCCCGGGGTGCTCAGAAGTTGGGCACTATATTGAATACACTCCAGCAGGCGCTCAATTGTAACATCAAAATTTTCTTGAACTGTGTCGATAAAAACAGCGACATGCCACTCAAAAATTTCTATCGATTCGTTTTCGAGCCTGAACTTCAGTTTAATTCTGATGGACAGCTGGTTGGAGCTAGTGCCAAATTTAACAAGTTACCAACGTCGTCACTTTTGACGCAGAATATTCATGCCCCTGACAACTGGATGGTTCAGGTTGTTAAGAGTGTTTATGATTTGGATAATATCAAGTTGGATAATGTGGCCATAGGAGTTCACAGGTAACTTCAACTATGATTTATTTCTTCTGTAATTATTGAAACTAATTAGAAGGAGAACACTATGATTTTTTGATTTTACGGGGTGTTCAGTTCAGAATTAACATATTTCGTCTGAACATTCTGACTAATCGAAGAGTCAGAATTGTTCTGAAAAAATCGCAGAGTTGTGCTGTAGAGAATTTCATAGCTTTATCGTATATGAAATTAATTTCTGCAAGATGCCTATGAGTGTTGAAACTTGGGAAATTCTCAGAATTTCCCGTTTTCTTATAAAATAAGTTTCAATTCTTTTTCTTTATTCGTATCACTATAAGAATTCAGAGGCAGAAACTCATGAAAGTCATGAAATTTTGAAAATTTTCCAACTTTCAATGCCTGTCGAAATCTTATATGGATTTCTGTCTCGTAGGAATTACGATGTACGATAGGTCTGTAGTATTTGATATAGATCCACTATCCACATGAAACTAGTCCACTTTGTCCATTTTTTTTCGAGATATTGACGTTTTTGTCCCCGCAATTTCTATTTAAAGCAATGTTCAATTATTTTATTTTATTTATTTTATTTATTTATTTGTTGAAACACGAATCTAACAGTCGAAGCCAGTAATAGGATTCAAAATATACAGAGATATGTGTGCATGGCAAAATTAATAAAGTAATAAATTAAAAAATAGTAGTATTCACATAAGAGGTCAGCAGATCCCAGACGGCATATGGTGAACGTACTCAAAAACCCATTTAGAGTAACGTTTTTACAAGGTCAAGGGCCTTATCAGCAGTCACAGTCATTGATTCATTCATTATGTGGATATCAGGAAATCTATTTACAAACAGCTTGATTCCAACAGCTTTAGAATTAAATTCTTCATCTCTCTAGCGACGTCATTTTTCACGCTATCAGCATCATTTTGGACTTAAAATGTTATAAAATTTTTCCAGAGTATACACTATTTCATATCGACAATGTGGGCTCTTTTCATTACTCTACATGAAATGTTCTATACAAGATTTCGTACGTACAGCAGGCATCCCCATCAATATTAAATTTCTGTAATATTGCACGGATTTGACCCTTATATTATTGAAGGTTTAAAATATGTTGATTCAATTTTTCAAATAATATAATATTAATAATCTGATTTTTTACGAATAATGAAATATTTAAAATTTGTTAATATGAGACTGTAAATTTACTAGTAAGTGAATAATTCAAATTTATTGAACGGGGATTTTCGATTACGCAAGTAATCGTCAATCTTCCCACCTCAAATTATTGATTGATACAATAGTTAAAAATTTGGATATTTGAATTGATGATACTTAATTACTCAAAAAATTTCAAGGTTGATGTTATCTATTTAAGGGCTCCAAAACTAATCGTAATAAAATATTACAAATTTGGCTATCCCGGACGTACAGTGTCTCCCTAAATATCGTCGCCAATAGGGCGTAAATGTCATCATTTCGAGTTCTTTTTCTTCAAAGCCAAAGGGGCGTATGTTTTTTTTATCGTTCAGTTCACCAATTAATTTTGATAATGACAAATGGATACATTTCTAAATAATGAGAACAAAAGGGGCGTGTCTCCAGCACATGCCCTCCATAAACTGTAGTCTCTTGATTGATATCTTAGTTTACTCGTAGCTAAACAATGACGAAGGGGCGTAAGTCCAAAGTGTAGGCTCTTGTTTTTTCTGCTTGTTGTAATTTATTTCACGGTTACACTAAGGATGACGATTGGCCTCTCATTTTTACATTAAAAAAAGGAATTTATATAGCGTTCCACCTCTTTGTCACGTCATAGGAAATGATTGGATGGGATTTTGAATGAGGTAGGAGGGGAACCGGGATTATTCTCAATATGAATAACCAGACGACTTTAAAGGGCAAAATGGGCCTGATAATGGTAAACATGCGTAAGTGTGGAGTTACGCCCCTTTATCGTTAAAAATGGGTAATTATACCCCTTTGGTAGAGATTTTTTTGTTAATACATTTTTGTTCAGAAATTGCACGAAAAGTCGAAAAACCATTGAAACGATATATACGCCCTTTTGACTTTTAAACAGGGGATTTTTGGCACTTACGCCCCTTTGGCTACACGCCGACGATATGAAACTACATTAAATCACTTATCATCAAAAGGCTCACCAAGTCTAACGTTCCAATTATAAATGAAATGCTCAACTTAATTCTTAAATTTGAGAAGAATTATCAGTACTTCAATGTCTTTCATGTTCATTCAAAAAATATGTTACACTTTTCCAGTGAATTCGAACTCGAATATCTCCTTCTCGAAGGCCACTGCTTCGAAGCTACCATGGGCAATCCTCCCCGAGGTCTTCAAATAACTCTCGGTACTGAAACACATGCAATGGTGGATACGATCGTGATGGCGAATCTCGGGTATTTCCAGCTGAAAGCAAATCCTGGCGAGTGGATTCTCCGCCTTAGACACGGTAGATCAGCAGAAATTTACAACATAACTTCGGTGGATGGTCATGACGTTATCCAGAACGGTAACGGTGTTAGAGTGCTCATCAGTTCGTTGAAGAGTCATGTCCTCAAACTGAAAGTTACGAAGAAGTCAGATAAACTGGATATGGATCTTCTGGCTGAAGATGATGACAAAAAATCGGGCATTTGGAATTCAATCTCGAGGTACAGTGGATTAACATCCCTTCATATTCAATTTTATCGTTTTTCTCCGTTCTCCTCAATAATTTACAATGTTATACTTCCAATTATTCAAGAAGGGAGAAAAATAGCTAAATAGCTGAACTTTGTTCTAGCTTTTCCGATTATTGGTAAGCTTTTTTAATCATCCATTGCAACTTATATCGGCCTACGTAGTAGTTTTTACCTGTTTTTTTTAAATAGCGACAGAACGGCCTGATACAACATGACAATTAAGGCCCGGGTGGATTATCTTTCAAACGTGATCTTGGTTGTTTTTCTTATTTTGATAATCTGAAATGATCCCCAATCGCTATTCAGTTTTACATAGCCCTGGCGTCTCCAAAAATTATAATTGTACAATCAAAAACACGTTGAAAAAAAGCTGAACATTTTCGAAGAGCGTTTTTGAATAATATTGGGAAATAAATCCAATAGGGAGGGAATTACAAATTAATAATTTGATGTATCTAATGGCTGTTCGGTCGTCGTTTGTCAGAGTAGTCAATGGCTATCACATCGTTAATTACCATGATAAATTATCCATTCACCATTTCCACTCTATCGAACTCATTTCTTAATCTTTATTAAAAACACTTTTTGAAAATTTTCAGTTTTTAACTTCCCAATAGGTAGTTATTGGTTTCACCCCGGAAATGAAAAATCGTAATTTCATGAAATGTCGACGTTTCATGACGACTAGAAGCTCCTTATATGGGTTTTAGAAAAGTGTATGTGTGGCCACTTTTTTTCGTTAACACTCCCGGGCGATCGCGTAGTGCAATCGAAATGAAGTTGGTCGCGATCGATAGGCATTCTGGCATAGAATGTCTAATTGTTTATAAATATAATTGTTTAAATTATAATTAAATTATAATTTTAATAATTGTTTAAACTAAATAAACTAAATAAACTAATACTTGCTTAAGATTCACGAACGAAAAAATTTAATAGAAAAACCTATCGAATTCGTTAGAAAATTCTATTAAATTTCTATTGAACTGTTCTATTAGTTTTTGGCCGATTCTATTGCAATGTTCAATAGAAAATATTCAGTAGAAAAAGTCAATAGAATTCAATTTTTCTATATAACTTATTCTATTAAAATATTTTCTATAGAATTTCCTCGGCTCAAATTTTCTAAGTGTTTTTGTTTAATTTCCTTGATGAGAAAAAAAGAAAAATAGAATGAAAAAAAGTTAGAAAATTTGAGTCGAGCAAATTCTATAGAAAATATATGAAAAGAATAAGTTATATAGAAAAATCGATTTCTGTTAATTTTTTCTATTGAATTTTGTCCATTGGACATATCAATAGAATCAGCCAAAAACTAATAGAAAGTTTAATAGAAATTCAATAGAATTTTTTAACGAATTCGATAGGTTTTTCTATTACATATTATCGTGCGTGCTGGATTAGATTAGGAGAGAAAACCCTCCACCCTTTTTTGAGTTTTTCACAAAAGAAGTGTCAAAATTGAAAATCGTGAAATTGGAATTTGAAAGAACTGCAATGTTTCGTATGAAATTTACGAATTTCCAATTTCAAATTTCAACTTGCATCGGGAAGTTATACATGCGTCCCTTAAAAGGACACATGAAGCAATTTTCAAATTTCAAATTTTTTTCTTCTACTTTTTTTTGATTGTGCAATCATAATTTTTAGGGACCTCTACGTGATGTAAAATCCACTGGAAATTGTGATATATTTTACATTATGAAGATGGAAAAACAATCGAGATAACGTTCGAAAGATAATCCACCCGGACCTTCACGTATGAAAAAATCCTATGGAGAATTCGAAAATTTCCTATAGCATTTTTCGGATAGGATTTCCCACAGGATTTTTTATAGGATTTCCTATAGACCACCACAAGTAACACCACGAGAGCTTCAAAATTATCGAGCAATTCCCGATAGGTTCGTTTGTGTGTAGGGAACCTTGAGGGAATTTCTCGATTAATTTTGAAGCTCGAGTAGTATTCGGGAGGGAATTTTCCCATCCAAATGTCGGCCAAAAGAATTGCACTATGAGACACAATCCATCTGACAGTTCCAACCAGGGGTTCACTCGACCACGGAATCTTTTGTTTTCCACAAATATAGTCAACATGAAAAATTACCAGTTGAATTATCAAAAATTATCAGCTGAATACCGTGTTGACTATATGAAATAACAGTCGAATAGTGCAATTCTATTGGCTGACATTTGGATGAGGAAAATTCCCTATAGAATTTCCTATGAGATTTATGACCCTAATCCTGACCCTTGTGACCGATTGGTTTCGAGTCTCAATTTTGTGTGTTATTTTCTATAGAAAACCCTATAGTGAATTTTATAGGAAATCCCACCAGAAAAATCCTGTAGGAAATGTTCGAATTCTCCACAGGATTTTTTCATACGTGTTAACATAAATTATAATGATAATACGTTTTATGCACATGTGAATAACGTATGATTTGATAATTTCTCAGGACATTCGGAAGTGACGACGCTGAGGAACAGGAAGAAAAAATTAACATATTTTCTCTGGCGTCAGGTCATTTATACGAGAGATTCTTGAAAATCATGATGCTCAGTGTGTTAAAACACACCAAGAGTCCAGTGAAATTTTGGTTCTTGAAGAATTATCTCTCTCCAACGCTGAAGGACTTCTTACCGCACATGGCAAAGGTGTATGGATTCGAGTATGAATTAATTCAGTATAAATGGCCGAGATGGCTCCATCAGCAAACTGAAAAACAGAGGACCATTTGGGGATACAAAATTCTCTTCTTGGACGTATTGTTCCCCTTGGATGTTAAGAAAATCATCTTTGTCGATGCCGATCAAGTGGTCAGGGCAGATCTGAAGGAGCTCGTTAATTTGGATCTCGAAGGAGCCCCCTACGCTTACACACCGTTCTGTGATAGTAGAAAAGAGATGGATGGTTTTAGATTTTGGAAACAAGGGTATTGGAAAACCCACTTACAGGGTAGAGCTTATCACATCAGTGCACTTTATGTTGTTGATCTCAAACGTTTTCGTCGTATTGCTGCTGGAGACAGATTGAGAGGGCAGTATCAAGCTCTCAGTCCAGATCCTAATAGTTTATCAAATTTAGATCAAGACTTGCCAAATAATATGATCCATCAGGTGGCTGTTAAAACCTTGCCGCAGGAGTGGCTGTGGTGCGAAACTTGGTGCAGTGATGCCTCGAAAAAGTACGCGAAAACCATCGATCTGGTAAGTTTAGGTCATGTTATACAGTATCATTTTATTCTTCATTAAAAACTCCTATTCCTCAGCCATTAAGGGGAGACTACTGTGAGTTTTAAAAGTCGTGGGTTATTGGAGTGAGACTTTTCATACGTTGAAGATCGATTATATAGATCTGAAAAGGAATAATTAGTGCAAAAAAAAATTTTTGATTGTCCGTTTGCCCGAAAACGCTTAAAATGCCAAAAACAGTCCAGGGCCTCCAATTTTCGAGCTACGAATGATTTTTTTATTGCAAAATTTTCGGAAAAATATGTGAAATAACAATTACGAGCTAGTTTTTTTTTAATTCATCTGTTACATGGCTAAATTTGCTTTTTTTGTATTTTTTACACAAATAGTGAATTTTTTTATATGAAAAAAAGACGAAATCAGCTGTGTAGGAGTCGAATTCCAAAAAAATGGCTCGTAATTGTTGTTCCACACATTTTTCCGGAAATTTGGAAAAAAAAATCTGTTATAGCTCAAAAATTGGAGGCCCTGGACAGTTTTTGGCATTTTAAGCGTTTTTGGACAAACGAACAATAAAAAAAGTTTTTTTTTTGCACTAATTACTCGTTTTCAGATCTATATAATCGATCTTCAACGTACGAAAAGTCTCACTCCAATAACCCACGACTTTTAAAACTCACAGTAGTCTCCCCTTAAGGATGTTTAGCCAGTGTCGGTAAATTTTCGGTAAATGTGTTTTTTTTCATGGTCAAGGAAAATTCTGTGATTTTTTCGGATGAGAGCAGAACATATAAAACTAACTTTTCTAACGTTAAAAAAAATTAATCATAATAGTCTCGACAGAAATGAATAAACTAATTTCTCCTTATACACGGCCTCTTATGAAATTTATGTTCAAATTGATAATTCGCCTACTGGAAAACTCTAAACATAGAAATAAAAATAGAAGGTAATGTGTAAAATCATACTGAATCCAATGGGCAGAGAAAAATCTGGGGTACCCGGGCAAACAGAGGAAATATTTGAATGATTCTGTCCCATATAAGCGCATGTTCGCGCATGCATATGGTGCATTTTGTCTATTTCATTTCTAAATAATAAACATGGGTTAGTGGATTGAAATTTGTATCAAAGTGAAGGGAATATCTTCATCTCTCAGTTAAAGAAAATCAATTTTTTTAAGTACTTGCGATTTACAAACGAAACATAAACATTTCGTACAAACGAAAAATGGAAAGAATCAAGAGAAACTAAAATCTTTCTGAACAGTGAGCGAAAAACGAACAAGTTCTCGGACAAGTCTTGTTTGGGCCAATAAAATGGTTAGTTAAAAATTACCAAAAGAATCATTGTTACAAAATAATAATATCTACAAGTAAGACTTGTTTGACAACTCTGTTATTTTTCTCTCAGTGTCATTGCCAACGTTTCGAACACACAGTGTTGTTTATGAGGGCATTCATTTATTCTAACCAAAGAAAATCGTTTGAGTTGAAAATCTGACAGTAAACAAATACTTGTGAGACAGACATCCGCAGAATTTTCAATTTTAAATAAAGTTAAATTTTGAAGAAATCAATAGCTAGTAATACTCATCAAATCGGTTAATAAAACCTAATTTGAATATCCACCACCAATCAAATATCCAAATTCCGAATTATTTTATCACTCAATAGTTGAGTTCGGAGGATTGACGATTATTTGGCTAATCGAAAATCCTTTTTAAGAAATTTAGAAATATTTGTCAAGTAGTCAATTTACAATCGCATATTTTCAATTATTCAATCTACAATCTAATATTAAATTTTTTTAATTCATAGTCAATTAAAAATTAAAATTATCAATTATTTCGTAAATTTCAAATTTCAATCCAAATATTGCTAAAACTAATCATTAATGTCGATCCCTTTGTCAGATGTCTTCGTAACTGATATTATGAAATTGCATATGAAGAGCACCCGATGCATAATCGGAAGGTCCGGGATTCAAATCTCGATGTGGACTATTCATTTTTGTTTCTGAATGAAAACGTTGTAATCGTGATTTTTTTCGATTTCTTAATTTTGGGTGGAAATGCTAATTGGTACTACTGTAACTCAAAGTTATGCTAAATTTCAGCTCGATCGGTTGAGCGGTTCCTGACAAATAGCGATTCTTCAAAAATCGTTTTTTTCCGACATTTCCTGAACCATTCGACCGATTAGATCTTTTTTTCAAAATACTCGTCATGATGATACCTATTTATTTGAATTGAAAAAAGACCATTACACCCTGGGCAATGTAGTTTTATTCTCGTTTTTTCCTATCTGATTTTCCCATTAACAATCAATAAAAAATCATATCTTTTTTATCTCTTCATGCTTCATCGCATGCAACCTATTTTATTCGTTCTATTGTCAAATAAGTGGGAATAAAAGTTTTCCCAATGATGCTGCATTTGACGGAACAAGTATTTTTCATTCGAATTCTTTTGTAAAATTTCAGTGTAATAATCCAATGACTAAAGAAGCGAAGCTCCAAGCAGCAATACGCATTCTCCCAGAATGGACGGGCTACGATGAAGAGATCAAGGCGCTACAACATGCGATAGAAAATGAAAATAAACAGACTGATAAAGAAGAGAAAGTCGATTCAGGTAATACACACGATCCTTTTTTTATCGAAATTTCCGAATAATTGTTTCGAAGTCATTTTTCTCATAAATCTCATTTCAATTTTTCAGACGATCAGACAAAGCACGAAGAATTATAATCTAAGAAAATTGTAATATTTCAAAGATTGGGGAATCGGCAAGGAATTCCCACGATGCACTAGGGACGACGGTGCATAGTATCCCATACTAAAGTTACGAATGCTGCCATCAGTTATTTTTGTTAATTTACACCAACAGAAACATCTTAATGTATAGGAAAACAATTTCAAAGTTTTTCATGTTTCCCAATAAATCGTAAGAGTTTTGTTATCAGTTTCTTTCTAGGAATTTTCAAATCACTCCTCGATCTATTTAACAGTTATAAGGACCTTTCGCTTTGTATGATAATTGCAATATTTTCTTTTTCAACTGGTCAATCAATTTTGTAATGTACATCAAATTCAATCCAATTGTATTTAGAGCGGAGAATTTAATAAAAATCATAATTTGGATATTTTTCCATTGGTGTCATTATATTTGTAAACATTGGAGATACGGGATCCGTAGTCACTCGATAAGTGTCAGTCGTGGTCAGTCGTTTGCGTAGAAACCATTCGTGGAACAGAATCTCCGCTGTTCAAATGTGCTTAAAATTTTAACAAAACAGTTTATTTGCGATGATGAACCAGCGCAGCAACACTCATAATAGGTATACAAGTTTCTGCTGTGTCACTGGAAATTTTAGAAGTACCAATATTTGTGGAAAACCACTCGATGAAAAGAAATTTCTAGACAGAATTGATAAAATATGGAATATTTTTACGAAAGAAAAAGAAAATTTCCGAGTTTAGCCGAAGTTAGTGTACTCTACACAGAATTGTTTGGTGATTAATCATAATCTGATGGTGTCCCAGTCATTTCGAGAAGTGACTAGTCAGTGTTACTGCTCGCAATAGCGTCAATGCTCATTTACCGTGATAAATTTTTCTAATCGCTCAAGATCTTGTTTTTACCCTTAATCTATTCAAGTAAATGAGACCTTATTTTTTCTGCTGATAATGTTACAGTCTATTTAATCGAAAAGAATCATCAATTCGACTAGTCAATATGCTAGGTCTTCGAAACATCACACGATAATTTTTTGCACCTGATGAGCAGCCGGAGATAAGCAATAGATTTGTAGAGATATTCAATGTGACATATACGTGATTTAAATTTGATGGATTTTAGCGATAGGAAAAAAATCTGGAATCCCCACCCCTAAATGATTTCCTCATTTTCTCAATGACAGGTCACGGAGAATCGATAAGAAAGAATAGGAATACGTATATATTTTCGGAGTTTGCTGGTGTTGCACCTTGTCTTTACTCTGGTAGATCTATCTATTTATCGATGAGAGCAGCCGCCGGAATCGCACTAATCTGCCATCACTAGTGCTGCAACGTATAAAATCTGTTCATATGCTCATTGTCAGTCAGTTGCTCGTGTTATCCCAATCATCCGGAGAATCAGTCCACCTTCATTGAAGATTCTGATCATTCATTTGGCATAAAAGATATTAATGATGAGTCGAGCATTGAGTTCTGTTGAAACGTAGTAAAATCAATTGTTAGACGGAATAAGTGTCGAATATGGAATTCAAAAGGTAGGTTTTCATTCGCCAATTCTTTCGTTGCCACTACCTCTTCTTGCTTTTTCAATTTTGTCTTGGAGTTTTTTTTCCTCATTTATGATGACTTGGACCTGAGCATCGTGTGATAATTGCCATTATCTTCCTTTTTATTCTGCAGTTAGTTGTCTGAGAATGACACGTCTGTGTAAACTTCTCGTAAAACATTATGAACTGATTGTCCAAGCAAGATAACATGAGAATTTTCTAGATAGACGAGAAATTTGTCCACCAAAAAATCCTCACCTAGTCCACGAAAATATTCCGCGATAAGAAATCGACTCAGATTCCATGGGGACATATATCACCCTTTGAAAATATTTCATATCAATTAGATAAATCGAGTATCGATAAGAATATGGAAAGAATATGATAACGCTGGCCAAGAAAAGAAAAATTGTATTTCAAGAAGACATAAACGACTTGTGGGAGTCAGTTTCCAATATCAGGAAATTCTGAATCATTTTCCTTTTTTATTTTATTTTGCTCGGTTCATTCGCCTACAGTGAAGAAAATCGAAACAGTTCTATCTCGGACTGACACTGTGTATTACGTATTTAGGGACGATTCGTGGCAAGAGCATGACATCATCGGAAATTCATTTAATTAGTGTTGTGTACTTGCTGTATTATTATCACACCTCAGTTGTTGTGAAGATCTAATTTACTTACGCTTCTATATATTAGAGTGATTGACATGGCAGGCAAAACCAACGTAGATGAGGAAAAAGTCTGTCTGTAAGTTGCAATTTTTCTGTATCAAAATTAAAAGTGTCTAGAGAGGTATCGAAATTATAAAAACATATTTGGCAGAAGAAAAGAATCGAACAGTATCGAAACACTCGCACGCGAGTCTATGATCGAAAAGGGATGGTATTTGTCGTGGTAATACGTGCACGAAAAAATCACGGCTCTGTGCGGATTCAATGGTTCTAAAGTTATTTCGTGTGGATTGCATGAAGTTCAAGATCGTGGGTGGAGTAAAATCAGTTGTAAAGTTTTACACACAAGTTTCACGCGTCCGAGGTAAGGAATGGGAAGTTTAAGGATACCCAATAGCTTTGACTATTTTTTCTCAAGTGAATGCTTTTCTGATTTTGTAGTCGAACATGAGAGCTTCCATTTGAGTTGCATTTGACCTCAAGTTGCCGGACATTTTACAATGATTTTATTCAAACTTTACCGGTGTGAATGTGAATCTCGATATTGAACCGTTGGACAAATCGTTTAAAAGTCTAAAAAAAATATAAACTGTCCTTTTCGAGAAAGATTGATGAAATCATTTAAAAATGCAATTTTTAAAAATTATGAGCTTTTTCTTTAAATTATTTATAAACAATCAATTCTCCACCATAAAAATCATTTGTTCGGAATCGTACCAAATTTATTCATATTTAAAATTTTACCACAGATCGATTTCATGCCTAAAAAAATTAGGTTTCCGGAAGTTTGAACATTTTTAAGTATTCATTTATAAACAACGAATGTTTAAAAAAATAATAATTCTGTGCAAAATGTGATTTGAATGACGCTGAATATTCGTGATTTTTTTTCAAATTTTTCTCATACAATTTAATTGACAAATTTGATGATTGGAAATGGTTGAATCCATAGTATAGTCTGTATACTAAACTGTAAAACACTTTTGGATATCTTTAAGGATATCCAAGTACTTTGGCTATTTTTTCTCAAGTGAAATGCTTTCCTGCTTTTGTAGTCGAACAGGAGAGCTTTCATTGGAGCTGCATTTGACCCTAAGTTTCCCGACATTTTACAATGATTTCATTATTTAAACTTTCCAGATCTGAATTTGAATCCGAACATTGACTCCAGACACAGGCAGAATCATCATTTTTAATTAAAGTTAAATTTTGAAGAAGTCAATAGCTAATAATACTCATCAATTTTAAATTATCAAATTAATCATCAATTGTTTTTTCAAATTGAGGAATGTGTTAATAATGGTTAATAAAAAATATTTTGAATATTTATCACCAATTAAATATCCAAATTCCGAATTATTTTATAAATCAATAACTGGGTTCAGAGGATTGACGATTATTTGGCTATTCGAAAATCCTATTTAAGAAATTTAGGAATATTTGCCCACTAGTCAATTTATAATCCCATATTTTCAATTATTTAATTCATAGTCAATTGAAAATTTAAATTATCAATTATTTTATAAATTTCAAATTTCAACCCAAATATTATTGAAATTAATGATTGATTTGATTTGATTGAACCATTAGGCAATATTTTAAAAATGTGAAAAAAATTAGAAGTTTTACTTTTGGAGGAAAATTGCTGAAATAATTAATAATAATATTTTTAATAATTTATAATGAGAATATTTTCTATAAATAATTTATAAACAATAAATTCTCTGCCATAAAAATCATTTGTTTGGAATCGTGACAAATTTATTCATATTCAGAATTTTACCAGAGATCGATTTCATGCCTAAGAAAATAAGGTTTCCAAAAATTTAAACGACTTCAATTATTTATTTATGAGCAACGAATGTTTAAAAAAGTAATACATTTCTGTGCAAAATGTAATCTGATTGACGCTGAATATTCATGATTTTTTTCCAATTTTCCTCACGCATGGATTATAGAAGAGTGTATTACAATAAAATAACGTCGTTTTTTTATTAAGGGTCAAGATTAGCATTCCTCCGATGTGCATGGCATAATATCTTATTTTTTGGCTCTTGCAAACTTAAAAAATTTTGGTAGACATTTCGACTTGTTCGAAAATTGTGTCAAGTGATAGTTTCGATAAAATTTCAAGGAATCTTGTCATAAAAAATTCATAACTTGAAAAAATTAATGAAGACTGAAAATTTTTATTCAAATTATGAAACTCTATCGAAATCAGGAAAATAGAGTTGAATATTTTCATGAATATTAGTAAATACTTTCATGTATTGATTGAAAATTCAAGTAAGCTGGCAAAATCTTATTTTCTTGGTGCTCAAAAATGAGGGATTCCATTGAATTATCAGTTAAACTTGGAATTTTATTATTTGCTCCCCCCTAAATCGAATCCAATAATGCTTTTTTGTACCAGTTTAGGAACCAGCAATGAAGGAGACGAAGAAGCAATTTAAGACAGATTTAGAGAACGGCAATATTCAGTTCAATGACTTTTACATATTTTTATGCCACTCATGCCTGAAACCGGCTGGATTACACACTCGACGCTTCGCGTCTCGTGTCTAATTCAGCCGGTTTCAGGCTTCGTGACATAATAGTAGATTACACACCTTGGCCAGTAAAGTAAGGAATGTCTCAGATCACATGTAATTGTCGGCCGAGGCGAAACCGAGGTCAACAAACATGTGATCTGAGGCTTTCTTATTTACTGGCCAAGGTGTGTATACTATTTTTCTGCTCGACGTAGCCGGAAAGTGGCAACTTCGTTTAGCGCAGCGGCCAGGAAGTTGACGCTTTCCGGCCGGAGGGCAGAAAAATTTTGTTCAGTACTTGTTGGGAAATTTCGTCCTTAACGTGTGTGGTTACATCACTCGCCTTCGGCTCATGCTGTAAACCCCACACACGTTAAAGACGAAATTGCCCCACACGTGCTGAAATATACTATTATGGTTTTAATATAGGCAGAGTAGGGGGCAGAGTTTTTTTTGTCACCGCCGATATACAAAGTTCAAGGCCTTGTGGGAACCAAATATGAGTAGTCTTTCTTAATGGTTTGGGTGATCAGTGGTTCCTCGTCTCTTCATTTTTATTCTTTAGAGTGTGAAGATTACCATTCTTTCATTGTGCATTGCACAGTATCTTATTGAACTGATGGAAAAGTGAGTTTTTCGCAGAGTTGATGCTTTTTTGTTTGGAAGTCCCAATCAATGATTCTGTTGGTTATTTTACAATTTCTATTGAAAGTGTCTCCTATTCGGAACAATAAATATTTAATGGAAAAAATTTATGGAGTAATTGCTGCGAAGCCATTATCGACCATCTATTACCTATAAGTAATGAATTTTGAAAGAAAAAAAAAAGATGTGAGCTAATTGGCACCGTGCTCAATCGAAAGAACGGAAAATTTCCGTCGGAAATACATATTGAAAACCTGGAAAAATTGACCTCTGCTGAGACGAAAAATTATGACAATACACGGAGAGAAATGTTCAGTAAAAATTACGGAACTCTCACTTCACTCACCGATTGCGGAATCGACTCAGAAAATTTAAGTGACGGTATCGCAATTTTTCACAAGAGATTCAGATAAAAATTACGGAACGCTTCGGAAAAATTCCGTGACAGTTCCGTAAAATTTCCTACAACCACATTTCGCTCCGGAATTACGGAAAAGATACGTAATTTTTATTGAATATTTCTCTCCGTGTAACTCACAAAATGCAAAAATTAACGTTGTGCGCGTAATAAAATTCGGGAAAATCGTTCTAGGCCTTTTGAATGATAAGAAAGCCATATAAGAAGCCTCAACAAAATTAAATCTTTGAAGGTACAAAACCATACAAATAATTGGCGAAAACACTCATTGATGAATGCCATTAACAAAATCTCGCCAGAATTTTGATAATTTTTTGACAAAATCTCGAAAGAATTTTGATCATAGAAATCCGCAGGAATTAATACATACACTGACAGAAAAAAACATCAAGAGAATGTTATTTGACCCAACTATCATTTGGTTGTTAATTTTCAAATAAACATGATTTCCTAATAAATATCAGTTATCTCCTCATGAGATACATTTGTTTGGGTGAATCCAACTGCTCTAGAATGGAAGTTGCTTTTATTTGTCGCAACAATTAGAGTATTTGATTTCTTTCTAGCCAAAAGTTTGCTAACTCCAGAAATTCGTTGGTTTACTCAAAAATTAAAATTATTTTCGTGACTAAATACGTTGTTATCTCAATCAACACGATGACACGTTGTTCCAAGTAAATTATAATTGAAGTGAGCATTTCGTATGTCGAATCAGGATGAATACTGTTACGCGGAAAAAGCTTTGAAATTGTAGCAAGATGTCGTTGAGTTGAAAGAAGTTTATATTTCTTGATTAAAAAAATCGCATTAGTTTACAATAACAGTATCACAGATTACGGCAATTCAACACAAACTTGGATATCACAAATGTCGTTCAATGTGATGTACGGAAAGCTCAATTTAAACATCGGCTTCATTCGAAAAAACAACATTCCATTCACGCCTCAATGTAATCATCTCCTACGTACGAATGTTTTATCAACTCATGAAAGTAGAAAATTTCTCGACTTGAGATTCTATTAGGTTAAAAAAAATATAACTTTTCCATTTTTATGGTCAATACATGTGCCTTGACGTTGCGAAAGGTTCCGAGTTCAAATCCTGGCCGGGTAGATTGGTGCGATCTAACCATTTAAAGTCTTGATTATCATCGCAGTATACCCTAACGGGGTCGAAGCGATGTAAAATAACAATAAACAAAAATGTGCCTTGACGCCAAAAACTGTTTTATTTGATTCAAGTAAATGTATCTCAAGAAGAAATAATTGATACTCACAGTAAGATCTTATTCATTTGAAATTGTTTCAAGTATATAATACTTGTTCCAAGAAAGAAACATCTCAAGAAAATAATTTTTCTATCAGTGTATAATTTCCCTTAGAATTGCCTACAGCGAAGGCGCCAGGATTCTCCGTGGAATTTTTTCGCGCGTGGTATCAGAAACTATTATATGCACATTGTTAATGACCCTTGAAAACAATCAAATGGTATGGTCACAGTGAGACACAGTTGAATACAACTATATATAATACAGTAGCTGGCTATCTTGTTATGTTTGCGGACGAGCGGTTGACTTTTCCCACTTCACAATTTGTCGCCAGAAAATTTATTTATAATATCTAATTCAACATAGAACGGTGGGCCACTGATTCTCGTAATCATCCGTCAAACTACCCGTACCACATATTTATGAGAACCTAATAATACTTCATAAATATCGTAGCACCCGCATATTTTTTGCATGCAGAGCTCGAGCCACGTATTTAATGTGTACATGGTTCGACGATTCTATAATGTTGCGAGCTGGTGTTGTACAGGAAACCAGTTTTAGATAAAGAGATTCCATATTCCATCTCTACAATTTCGAAGCTCGAGAGAAACAGCAGCGTGCGGCGGACACTCTATTAATCATTCAAATTGATCTGAGTAGCAAGTGCTTGTGTACGGTGTACAGTAATACAATGTCAATTCGTTAACTATTTAGAGTATTGGTCTTCTGTTAAAGTTGAAAGAAAAATTTGCAAAAATGTCGGGTTATTTAAAACTGGTTTCAGAAGATAATGGTGGGATGCGATCCTCCTACTTGCGGAAGAGTAAAAAGAGTGGAAATGATGTCGAGAGTGACGGCGAATCCATTCCTACGGTGTTGGTATTAATTAATTTCAGAAGATTGTCTCTTTTACTTGAAAAAAAATCATTGCTCCCTGAAATTTCACTATTCTTGGGATAAATTGACAAATTTGTGTATTGATAGCGCCGAAAAATACGCAAATTATGATGAATCTGATGGATAATGAAAGGATCGGGGAGCCTGAAGTTAACGATTATCGGCAATCCAAGGAAATCTTTGTGCTTGGTTTGAAAATATGTCAAGACGCGGATCTAGTGGAATGTGTCGTAGATAATTGTTTCATTAATTTCCGCGATGGTTTCCAAGTGTTGATGGGTGATTATATGTATCATACGTATCGGTTACCAGAGGTTCAATGCGTAAGTCTTGCAAGTGCATTGCAGATTAGGGGAGAGCGGGGTAAAATGGACACTTGATTTTTTCAAAAATATTCGTAACTCAGAAACAGAATAATTGTTCTTTCAACTGAAAAATAAGGTTATTCCGTTTCATGGACAATTCCACATGTCATGAACATTTCAAAAAAATTCAAAAGTGTCCATTTTACCCCACCCTCTCCTATAGCAAACAAGTTTTTCACAAATGTGTATTATTACAAAATTAGTCCCGTGAATTTGAAAACTCTGTCAGTTCAGTCATACTTTATCTGCTTGATAATGTTTTATGTATCTATTCTGGAGAGCAAACCCCTGCATTAACATCGTGGATGTCACGTATGTCTTAGTTTTATGCACAGAGAAAAACAAGGGGGAAATTGCTCTTGTATTGAATATAGTATAGCCATTTTTGACAATAAATTAGCAATATGCCTTCCAATAGTTATTTTGCATATCTTCTCCTTCTATCGTGCATAATTCATTGTTTGTTTCCTTTTATTAAATTGAACACGATTTTGTTTCAACTAATTTTGTTAGATTTTCAACTTAGTTGAATGTTATCAGCATCATTATTTTTATTATCCGTTACTTCTATACAACCGATTGTCTTTTTTACAGTTCTATCTCTCCCCTCAGCTCTTCGATAAAATGTTAATGGAAAAATTCTATTTACACACNCTAATTTTGTTAGATTTTCAACTTAGTTGAATGTTATCAGCATCATTATTTTTATTATCCGTTACTTCTATACAACCGATTGTCTTTTTTACAGTTCTATCTCTCCCCTCAGCTCTTCGATAAAATGTTAATGGAAAAATTCTATTTACACACATTTGAATGAATTTGAAACATCACATTTGAAGAAACCATCAGAAAGCTCACTTTCAGGGAAATTCATAAAAAATTCAAAATTTCCCACAGTCATCATAAAAATCAAATCAACCAGTATAGCTATCATAATCATCTTTTAACTTCGACTTAATCGCATTAAAACAAACATTTTAAGCTATGATTGGATTCATTTGAAGCATGATGTTCAACGATAACACCGGAATTCTGATTTTCAAAAATATAAAAAAAGTTTGAAAATTTTCGAATAAATCAAAATAACGATTATTGCTGTCGCCTCCATAATCGATGCCTTGAATTTTAGTTAATGGCGATCGATAGGGCTCAACAATACCTACATTTGAAAAAAAAAAATTCAATTCCATTCGTTTCATTTCATTCTTTCGGACACGATCTAAAAATTGCATTTTCACATTTTTTGGATCATAATGGGTCGATATAAAACAAAAAGTCCAAAACTTAAATTTGAACGATGACAATGCTTCCATTCGGAAGCAAAAAATACAGGAAAAATGACTAGAGCACGGTAAAATGTGTTCATTTCGGCGGATCCAAAAAAAATCAGGTGCCAGCATTGAAAAATTTGCTATTTTTTTGAGTCCGCTGAAGGAAACCTACCTCAGCCTGCTAAGCACAGTCATTTTTCCCCGTAATTGTTTCTCTTTTAAAATTAATCTTTTTATGTTTGTGAATAATTAATTTGTAATTCTAAGTTTATTACCTGACACCTTGATCCAATTCATGTTTAATTACATTTCAATTATTCCCGAACTTTATCGCTTTCAACTGGTCTTAGTTTACGAACTCCAATGTTCTTAGTTTAAGAAACTAATGATTCTTGATTCAAAAACCCAACGATTCTTGATTGAAGAAAATTTCTCACTTTAAGCTTCGGGTGGATTATCTTTCGAACGTTATCTCGATTGTTTTTCCATCTGCATAATGTAAAATATATCACAATTTCCACTGGATTTTACATCACGCAGGAGTCCTTAAAAATTATGATCGTACAATAAAAAAAAGTAGAAAAAAACTGAACATTTTCAAAGAACGTTTTTAATAAAAATTAAGAAATAAGTTTGATAGAGAGAAAATAGTGAATGGATAATTTATCATGGTAACCAACGATCTGACAGCCATTGACTACTGGGACAAATGACGACCTAACAGCCATTAGATGCATCAAATTATTAATTTGCAATTTCTTCCCTATTGGGTTTATTTCCCAATATTATTCAAAAACGCTGTTTGAAAATGTTCACCTTTTTTTCAACGTTTTTTTGATTGTATAATCATAATTCTTGGAGACTCCAGTGCTATGTGAAACTGAATAGTAATTGGAGATCATTTCAGATTATCAACATAAAAAAAAATAACCAAGATCAAGGTCGAAAGATAATTCACTCGGGCCTTAACAGAAAATTGATAGTTCCATATTTTAAAATATTTAATTCATCATCAATTGGAGATTTAGATTATCAATTATTTTACTATTTTTAAACTTCGATTAGTATATTTAAACCTTGATTGGAAATTTTTTTAGTATTGAAGAATCGGAAGATTGATGGTCATCCCTGCGGCAGTCACGTCTCGGTATCACCTCGATTATTTTTGGGCGGTATCGAGACTATCCTGAGACTAAATTGACTATACTGAGACGAAACTTAAATAGTATATTTCAGCACGTGTGGGCCAATATCGTCTTTAACGTGTGTGGGGTTTACAGCATGAGCTGAAGGCGAGTGATGTAACCACACACGTTAAGGACGAAATTTCCCAACAAGTACTGAACAAAATTTTATGTCACGAAGCCTGAAATCAGTTAAACAATTACGAATACTTAAGTATGAAAAAATCGTAGAAATTTTCTATACAGATTGCGTATAGAATTTCTATAGGATTTTCGTATATGATATTCGGATATTTCTATATGGATATTTTTTATACAAATTATTTCTATACGATTTCTATAGGTTTGATCCTATACAACCCACTGCCACATGTATAGAAACATTTCGCATGGAGTTACATTTAAATTAAATTTATGTAAAAATTCATGTATAGAAATAATTTGTATAGAAATATCCGAATATCATATACGGAAATCCTATAGAATTTCTGTACGCACTCCGTATAGAAAATTTCTATACGATTTTCTCATACGTGTATTCCCCCCGTACTATGATGGTTACTTTCTCAGTGTACTCCAAAAAAATGCTCTCAAGATTATAAATGAATTTCGCAACGGAGAGAAATGTTGAGTAAAAATTACGGAACTCACAATTCACTCACCGATTACGGAATCGGCTCAGAAAATTTAAGTGACGGTATCGTAATTTTTCACAGGAGATTCAGATAAAAATTACGGAACGCTCCGTAAAAATTCCGTGACAGTTCCTTAAAATTTCCTACAACCACATTTCGCTCCGGAATTACGAAAAAGATACGTAAATTTTATTGAATATTTCTCTCCGTGTGATAAGCTCTAATATTAAAGCATAAATTACTACATGTTAAAAGTATATAATCAGTGTTAAAAATGTAAAAAATTGTACACATATATTAAGTTCTATCCTCCAAACTTAGCAGAATAATAAGCCGTAATGGTTTGATTGCGTTAAATAAAGAAAAATTAAACAATTAGCAATTCTCAGTAATTAATTTATATTCTTCGCAATAGTTTCACAGACCAGGCAGTATTTGGATATGGCACAAGCATCCCACCAAACAATAATGAATATGAGGGGAACGATGCTTCCAAAAAGGTGATCTTCTGCGTGCATGGAAAACTCTCGGGATGTTGTACAGTCGTCAAAGGAGCAGGCATAGATGAAGAAATAATGTCAGCAGACTATCAGCAGAACATCGGCCAATGTAAGCACGGAATATTCGCCGGAAATTAATACTAATTGATAATCATGAGGTCTTTCTATGTTTTCGCAGTTGAAGATCACTGTCACAGAGACCGCAATGAAGCTACTGATAAGAAAGCTCGGAAAAAGTTGATCATTGCTTGCGTATTGTGTGTAATATTCATGATAGCAGAAATTGCCGGTGGTATATTATCAAATAGTTTGGCAATAGCAACGGATGCTGCCCACCTACTCACAGACTTTGCGTCATTTATGATATCGCTCTTTTCAATATGGGTTGCTGGTAGGCCAGCTACTAGGAAAATGCCGTTTGGATGGTATAGAGCAGAAGTAAGGGCTTTTCTTAAGAATGGGCGATGTTTTTAAAAACATGGATTATCGAAGAATCGGTATTTTTTTCAAACATCGATTTTGTGAGACGATTTTTCTCGAAAAAACACCGATTATTGAAAAAATCATTGTTTTTTTCATTAGACAGAAAAAAACCGTTTAAAAAATTTTTTTTTTTAATCTCGTTTTTATTTAAAATATATATTTTAAAAAAACTCGAGAAACTATTTTCAATGATAAGTACTGCTGGAAAGCCAAATTTGAATCTCGATCCAGAATTGTTGATTCGTTGGAAGAAATATATGATTTTTTCTACGATTACGGGGCTTGAACAACTATCTCTCAAATTTTTTCAGATTTTTTTTGACAGGCCAGCTCGCAAATATGATTTTTTTCAAATTGTTCCGTTTTTTTACGATAACTCGAGTTCTACTGATCCGATTCCGATTTATTAGGGGGCAAAATTTTCCATTGTTCACCACCTATAAGAATGTTTAAAAAAAAAAAATTTCCAATCTTTAGATGCTCGAAACAACAAAAATATGTAAAATAGGGGAGGGTGGGACAAACTGGAATGGCGGGGCAAAATGGAACGGTACAAAAAACGAATATAGAGCGAAATTCAGACTTTTTTTTTTCACCTTATGTGAGCTTAAAAATGATGATTCGGGGGTAAGTCAGTGACATCAGTCTACTCTGTAGTTATCGCTATCTTGTAATCTAAGGGAGATAGGAGAATTTTGATAAGGACTTTTTTGTAGAGAATTTCAAGGGCTATAAAAAAGGTCATTATAAAAATTTTGCTATCTTCATTGTAAAGAAGATAATTCAAGGTTAAAAAACGGAAGAGAAATCTGATGTCTGTAAATACAATTATAGAGTAATAGACGATTATAGATAAATAAATAAGACCTTTGGAATATTATTATTGTTCTATGAATAAATTGAATATTAAAAAATAGTCCTATAGTTTTTGAAAACCAAAATTCACTACCGTTCCATTTTGCCCCACTCTCCCCTTTTCTTGAAAATTAATAGAAGTCTGGAAAGTTAAGGTAAATGAATTTTTGAATTTTCAATTGATTGAAAATTGAAGAATAAATTATATGATTTAGTTTACTAAAGTTTACTAATGTTTTGATTGAAAATTCAGATGAGTTGAGGAATTCGCATTTTTCTGCTCTTCAAAAATTTCGAATTCCAATGAATTTGCATTATTTTTCCCCTGTATCGAAATCAGTCACTATTTTGAAAATATTTAGACAACTGCTCATGAAATTTCAGTTTTCTTTCAACTATTTAGTCTATTAAAGGAGAGGAAAATGTCACATTTTATCTCAAATCATTCGGTCCGGTGTCATACACTGAGAGAAAAATTGTCATAATATCATAAAACTAATTTCTTGTGCCAAATATTTCATCTCTTGAGGAGAAATTTCTTGGGATAAGAATTTTTTGTACCGTTCCATTTTGCCCCGCGTTCCATTTTGCCCCATCGTTTCATTTTGCCCCACCTTATCCTATAGGTATATATTTAAATTTACTTCATACTGTTTATAATCAAAGTCAACCAATGACAATTTGGGGTATTTTGACCGAATTCGTGGAATTTTGAGAATACAAAATTAAAAATAAAATAAATCTATGACGAAACCCAACATGTATGATGGCTCCAAATTTTTGTTTTGATTATAGGAAATACTGAAAAAAAATTAAAATAATCAACCGTGACGTAATTAGCCAAATTAAAGTTTTTCAACTTTTTTTTTTTTAGAAAATTCGTTATTCCGAGCATCTAGAGATTGGAAAAAATTTGAACAAAAAACATTCTTATAGGTGGTGAAAAATGGAAAATTTTGATCCCTAATAAATCGAAATCGGATAAGTAGAGCTCGAGTTATTGTAAAAAAAAACGAACAATTTGAAAAAAATCATATTTCCGAGCTGGGCTATCAAAAAAATTTGAAAAAATTTGGGAGATAGTTTTTCAAGCCCCCCCCAATCGTAGAAAAAATCGCCATCAATTTTCAAGAGGGTGAGGGTCAGCCGTTGACTCATTTGGCATGGAATACCTCATATTGAATATTTTACGTGGGTGAACATTAGCTGTAATAATTGTTGATTATTACATATATTATTATCGATTATGGTTCTAGCCGATAGACTAAGTTACGGGGAGACTACTATGAGTTTTAAAAGTCGCGGGCTATTGAAGTGAGATTTCTCATGCATTGAAAATTGATTATATATGTCTAAAAACGAATAATTAGTGCAAAAAAATTAATTGTCCATTGTTTGTTTGCCCCGCAGACGCTTAAAATGTCAAAAATAGTCCAGGGCCTCCAATTTTTGAGCTACAGAGGTTTTTTTTCTAAATTTTGAAAAAAATGTGTACAATAATAATTACGAATTAGTTTTTTTGAAATTCGACTTCTACACGGCTAATTTCGTTTTGTTTAAAATAAAAATTTGTGCCACTCATATAAAATAGGCAGATTATCCTTAAAATATTCAAAATATATTCTCGATTCTTTCAGAAACATTTTTCGAGCTGTTTTACATGAATGGTGCAATTTTTTATTTTAAAAATGAAGAAATTGACAGTGCAGGAGTTGAATTTCAAAAAACTAATTCGTAATTGTTATTGCACATATTTTTTTCAAAAATTTTGAAAAAAACCTTAAGCTTGAATTAAAAACCTTAGCTCAAAAATTGGAGGTCCTGGACTATTTTTAACATTTTAAGCGTCTGTGGGGCAAACAAACAATAAACGATTTTTTTTGCACTAATTATTCGTTTTTAGTCATATATAATCGATTTTCAACGTATAAGAACTCGCACTCCAATAGCTCGCGAATTTTAAAATTCATAGTAGTCTCCCCTTAGAAAAACAATAGACGATTGAACTTACCCACTTACCATTTATAACGTACATACTGTAGAAAATAATGACTTCTGATTGCCGATAAATTTTTTTTTTATCCTCAATCAATCAACATCATTATTCGATTTTTTTTTTAATGGAAAATTTTGTTAACTTGGTAAAAAACATCGATATTTGGAAAAAAGAATCGAAAATCGATTAATCGGCCGTTGAAAAGATCGAATGAAAAACATTCATGTTTGGGCATGAAAAATAGATGTTTTCCATTAATCAACAAACATCGCCGATCCCTAGCTTTTTCCTCACATTCCACCAGCATATTATTAAACCGGTATTACAACAATGACTTCATTTTTCATTCACAGGTAATAGGTGCACTTACCTCAGTGCTGTTGATATGGGTGGTAACAGGAATTCTCTTTTATCTAGCAATTGAGAGAATCATTAATAAAGATTTTGAACTCGACGCTGAGGTCATGCTCATCACTTCTGCAATTGGTGTTGCTGTTAATTTAGTGCAAGTATTTTCTGTCAATATCTATATTGGGGCAAGTGGAAAAAATGACCAAAAATGACCGGTCCTTTACCCATCGGCTGTTTTTTCCTCTGGCTATTTTTTCGTACATTCCTTATCAAGGACCATCAATCATTAAATTATTAATATTAATAAGAGAAGTTGCACCTTACAATAACTAAGGTTTAGTTATCTTCATTGAAATTAGAAAAATAATAAAATAGTTGATAATTGAAATTCTCAATTGACTATGCATTAAATAATTGACAATATGGAATTGTCAATTGACATTGAGTAAATAATTTTAAATTTCATAAAGAGGATTTTCGATTAGCCAAATAATCGCCAATTATTCGAACTCAATTATTGATTGATAAAATAATTCGTAATGGGAATACTAAATTGATGATTAATTTGAGGCCCGGGTGTACTATCGATGTTTTTTTCCCTCTTTCGTCATCTGAAATTGTCAATTAAGTCCTGCATCATGCAGAAGTTTTGAAAGATTATGAATGAATAATAAAAAAAAAGTAGAAAAAATTCTCAATTTTTTCAAAGAGCATTTTTAATTTATATTCAGAATAAATTGAATAACAAGAAATTGAAAAATGTATCTGATTTACGGTGACAAATGGCGGCCTGTCACCCAATATCATCCAGTGGGAAGACTGATTTCGTAAATCTTTTGTCACACTGCACAGAGACATTTATTACTGAAAAGGCTCTTTGAAAGAAGTTGTAATATTTTGGAGAATTTTTAAACACACTTTTATCACATAAAAATGGCAGATGACTACATACCACTGTTTTCAAAATTGAGATACCTAGCTGTCACTTCCCACGAGGAGTTAGTCTTTTGTTATCCACCATGGAAAATGACAGCTAATAGATAATTTGTCACAGCGAATCAGATATTTGTAATTTCCACTTTTTTCAACTCATTCTGAATCTCAATTAAAAACGCTCTTTGAAAAAGTTCAGAATTTTTTCTACTTTTTTGTTATCACTCTATCATAATTTTTGGGAATTGCTACATGATGTACCACTCAATTGACAATTTTCGATTACGAAAGATGAAAAAAATCCAGATAACATTCGAAAGATAGTACACCCGGGTCTTAATAATTTAAATTGTCGAGTAATATTAACCAACTGACTTATTCAAAATTTAACTTTGTTTAAAATTTATGATTAGCCGATGTCTAATTCCTGTATTAGAAATAGTAGATTCAAATGAAGAATGGTCATAATATGGACTTCCGTATGATATACGGAATAAATGGCCCAGATTGTCGCCATTATATTTTTTTAAAAACATTTATCGGGCAGTTATCGCGTTGCGAAGTAGCTCGTCGAAAACTCATACGTTTTTCTTCCGAATGGAAGCTTTTTAATCGTTGATTTTAACGATCTTCTAATTTTGTCCTGAAATGATGTACAATCTGAAATGTGAACGCACGTATGCGGATTTTTCGAATTTTGTTTAAATCTTCCCAAAAAAAGGTGTAAAGTTGCAGTAAGTGTTTAAAATTTTGTCCCATAATTGGCATTATTTGAGAGCATTTCTGGATGATACAGTTATTTCTTTATTTTTTGTCAATATCTGAAAAATTACACGACTGACCTCAATTTTTTTGACGTCAAAATAATTCTTGTGATAATATCTGTAAAATGAATTTAATTTAATCACTTAAGTCACAATATCAACATGTAACGAGGGACAGCTTGATAATGATAGGCATTTTTATGATAAAATCGATGGATAAACGATAACTCCGGAAAAAAAATGTGATAGGAAGTTGGAATTCTAAATTACGAAATTAATTCGAAATTACGCGATGGAACTGTGGATGAGCGCAATTGGATGAGTAGTTTAGAGGATATTCAACATTCTGTGAAAAACTATTTTGATCAATATCTCCGAAACCACTGATCAAATTTCAATTTTCCTACTTTCGAAATACTCGTCTTGTTGTCTTCTGTCGAGATCAATCATAATATTAATATCTATTCATAAAAAGTTTTCGAGATATTCTCATTTTTGTAATTGTTGAATTTTAGAGTTAATTTGACGATCCATAAAACGTGTAAAACTTGAAACTGACATTTGAAATTTTGGATACTAGTTTATATTATTGCATCACACTTATATAGAACATTTTGGGTTGATCGATGCAGCACATCCTGGCGTAGAGTCATTCATCCAACAATGGTTTTGTCCAAAAAATGAAAAATCGTCATTTTATTAAAAGTTTTCACATCTGGATGACTTAGAAATTTATATAAGAATTGCATCAAAAAGCAATTGCCACGGATCCATTTGGAAGTTTATTACCACTGAAATTGGTAGACATAGAAAAAAAAGAAAAAGACGAATGGAGCATAAAGTCACGATCACGTGCTTTCGGTGGGATGGGCGCGGACCCCCGTTTGTTTTTTATTTGTTGTATCTACTCAGTTATAATTTTTTGGTATACACTTCTGGTACACTTATTGGAAATTTTTATCGAGCGATAGTGGCAATGGCATTTCAAGGAATCTTGTCACTGAAAATGCATAACTAGATGAAAAAATTTCTGACAACTGCCAATTCAGTGTAATTTAAAGTAGCTCTACCCTTCGGCCGGCTACGCTGTACTTTTGGATATTTTCAGTTTTAAAATTTTTCAACTAAATTGCATGGAAAAAATTTGAAAAAATTCATATCCAGCCAGTATTATCTAAATTAAATTTCGCAACAATTGATATTTATTCAAACATTTCCCTCTTATAAATAAAACTTGTTTGCAAAACGGTGGATTATTTTTAATGAGGTGTCAGAAAAATTCTTCATTTTTTCACATCTAATGAAAAAAGTTCAGATTTTAATCTGTGATTACAATGGAAATGTTGATTTTCACATAAGACGCTGGGTTAAATCCTGATTTTTAAACATTTCTTCTTTGAAAAACCAAAACGATAATTAAATTGAGAAAAAAATTAGAATTCCGAATCTAATCGCGTTTTCTGCTATTTTTTTGCAGTTTCCAATAATCTTTGAATTTACCGTAAGAGTAGAGCTACTTTAAGTGTTTTGAAAATCAATGAATTTTCAATTCATGGTTTAATTGAAAATTCAAGTAAATTAAGGAAATCTTGTCTTCTTACTGCTCAACAATTTGGAATTCCATTGAATCTTCAGTGAAATTTGGACTTTCATTATTTGTTCCCCCCTGAGTCGAATTTAATGTCGCCTTTTTCTAACGCTCTAGGAACCAGCAATGGAGGGAGACATCCATTTAAGAAAGATTGAGATTTAGAGAACGACGGCGTAAAATACTCGGTGTAATGACTTTTAGATATTTTCAGAATTTTTAATCTAGGCAGAGTAGGGGGGGGGGGATTTTTTTTGTCACCGGGGATGTACAGAGCTCAAGGTTTTCTACGAAGGAAATGTGCGTAGTATTTTTTAATGGTTTAGGCGATCAGTGGTATCTCGTCCCTTCATTTTCATTCTCTGGATTTTTATTACCATAGATAGATTAGATAGGCAGAATGTGATGGAGTGCGAATAATTATTCCTCTGGCATGAAAAATGCTGAGACATTCTTGTTACTGGACAGTTGCCTTTAACGATTTTTCTCCTCATTTGGAAAAAGTCGCAGTAGATAATTTTTTATCGATTTGTACTTTAGAATGGGATTAACACTCCATCAGCATGGTCACAGTCACGGTGGCGGTCATGGCCATAGTCACGGCGACGGAAAGCACCAAAGTGACGACAAGAATATAAATGTCCGAGCAGCTTATATTCATGTCCTAGGTGACTTCATTCAAAGCACGGGCGTCCTCGTTGCAGCCTTAATTATTTATTTCAAGGTGATTAATGAAATAAGATTATCGTGTTGTTGATCTCATTGAGATAATGATTAATAATTATTTTTTGTTGCAGCCTACTTGGAGTATTGTAGATCCAATTTGTACTTTCTTATTCGCTATTCTAGTCTTGTTTACAACAGTGGCCATTATTAAGGATGTGATGAATGTTCTCATGGAAGGAATACCAAAAGGCTTTGAGTATTCCGCCGTTGAAAGTACATTCATGGGAATTGAGGGAGTCGTCAAAGTGCATAATTTAAGGATTTGGGCATTATCGCTCGATAAAACGGCACTTTCTGCGCATCTCGCTATCAGTAATTTTCTAAAATTTCATTCATTATTCGCTTGATTGAAAATTCTAGCGGAGTTCGACATTTTATCAGTGGCGACATTTTATCAGATTTCTATCGAGAATTGCGCAGCTTTTTCACGTTCTTTCATCAATAACAAGATGTTCAATGGAGAAAAATCAGCTGAAGTTGAGATTCAATCAGTTGAAAATTTTCCTACAGAAATTTTTTAGTCTAAATCTCCTGAGTTAATTTTGTTTCATTTTTTTTTCGTGACAGTTTTCTATTGACACAATCTCAACGAAAAAATTTTTATCTCTCTATATTATCAAAATCCAAATCGACTTCTGGTAATGAAAATTTGGTACTCGAAATGATAACTCCAAAATTAAGGGTCACAAGGGTCAGAACAAGGGTCACCGAGGTCAAAATAATGGTCATGAGGATCCGAATAAGGGTCATTATTACCAAAAGTAATAAGACCCTTAGACCCTTAGTAAATTAAGGGTCATGATTATCAGAGTAAGGATCACGCGGGTCATAATAAGGGTCAAGAGTGTCCAATTCCATGTCACAAGGGTCATAAGGGTCAGAATAAGGGTCATGAGGGTTAAAATAAGGGTTACGAGGGTCAGATTAAAGGTCATAAGGGTCATGAGGGTCAGAATAAGGGTCATGTTGATCAGAGTAAGAGCCTTAAGGGTCAAAATAAGGGTCACGAGCAGAGGTTTAAGATTAAGGGTCACAAGGATCATGAGAGTCAGATTAAGGGTCACAAGGGTCAGTATAAAGGTCCACAGAAATGTCACAAGGTTCATATGGGTCAAGTTAAGGGATACAAGAGGAGGATTAAGGGTCCAAATAAGGGTTTCAAAGGTCAGAGTAAGGGTCCAAATAAGGGTCATGGGGGTCAAAATCTAGGGGTTACAAGGGTCAAAATACGGATCTCTATATGTCTATATTATAATATAAAAATCCAAATCGACTTCCGGTGATGAAAATTTGGTACTCGAAATTAAGACTCCAAAATGAAGGGTCAGAAATGAGGGATCACAAGGGGTATAATGAGGGTCACGAGGGTCCGATTAAGGGTCACAAAGGTCAGAATAAGGATCATGGGAGAGGATATGGGTATCATATGTGAGTCATAGGGGGGTTGGCGAGCAGAGCGAGAAAGATAAAAACTTGTAAATTCCTTCCTACTGAATATTTTTCCATAGAATTTATATGTCAAGGGAGCAACGCGGAGAAGCTGCAGAATTTTCAATTCAATCCTGATAAAAAACCAGTTGATTTCTAGTAGATTTTAATTAGAATTTTCTTACAAATTCTCTACATTTTCCTTGGATTTTTTCTCACATGTTTATACGTTTTGCAGAGGCAGATGCAAGTCCACAGCAAATTCTCCGAACTGCAACGAGGAATATCCATGACCACTACAATTTCTTTGAAATGACTCTCCAAATCGAAGAATTCAATGAGAAAATGGAGAACTGTAAACAGTGCAAAGCATTACAATAATTGTGCATTGGGCAGTTTCCTGTAATCCTCGCTAGATTACATTATAAATGGGGTGGCGAGTCGTTATGGAATTGTAAAAAAAAATGTTATGTAAAAAGTAGAATTGTTTTTCCTACGAGTCTGAATCAGTTACAATTCAAGATAAAACAGCAATAACCAATTCAGAAGAAAATTCTTAAATAAAATGAGGTTGAAGTATTGATATAATTTCGTGTGGTTTTGATTAGTTTTGACCACATATTTTGCCCTTGTCAGGAAAAGTATAAATAATGCAGTAGTGACATGAAAATAAAAACAGGAAAACCACTCACAAAAAACTAAAACATCGTCACATAAAAACTAAGAATGAGAGGATAAAAAATTATCAATAATGTTCAGTAATAAAGTTAGCAATTACTTTTTAATCTACAACTCTATCTCAAATATTTTATGCGATAAATAGACGAAGTTTTCGTATAAAATCTGTCGTATAAAATTTTTCTATCAATTCTATCACTAAGTAATTGGAGGTATTCCTAGTGGTTTGTCATCGGTATCAGTTTTACTTGTATTTTTGTTGATCTCTTCTTCGCTCTCACTTTCACTATCTTCACTTGGTGGAAAATCTGGTAAGGCTACAAAAAAATAAGTGTAGGTCATCATTGGAATCGAATATGTGCGGAATAATTCCCAGAAAATCGCGGAATAACCCCGGCCTGAGTGCCTTTGAATACATTTTAAAAGTTTTCCAAATAATTTTAATCGACATCATGGTACGGGATGGCTACAAGGCAAGAGATTTTGTTACAAAAACTCAGGCTTCAGGGTTTTTTATGCTGAGTCCATCCAAGAAATTCAAAATGCTTGATGAAAAACCTTTGCGAGATAATCCAATAGCAATTTTTGAAATTTGACATGGATTTTGTTGAGAAAATGCGCTTTTCCAAGAAAAGTGTGAAACTTTACAAACTATTATCCTGAAGAGGCATACTAATATAATTTGATTTCCGTATATGATGATATATGATGGGCCGTCTAAAAAAGTAGAAATTATTCAAAATTTAACCCATTTGCCCCGCCTTTTATGGTAAAACCTCATGCTTCGAGTTTTCATCAGTCTTTTATTTCTTTGAAATGTTTGTTAGAGTTCGAAGAATAAAATTGAGCATTCGTTTTCTTGAATTTCAATTAAATTATGAGAAGAAAATGTTTTCGATTCCCTTTTTTTTGCTCGATTTTAATAACGGTTAAAAAAATGTTATTTTGAGAGGTTGAGAAGTTTGTGTATATATTTTTAAAATATTTTTCTCATTAAATCCCTTCTCCATACTATTATAATCTTCAATTACTGAAAACGTTTTTTAAATGTTATTAAAAAGTGAGCATAAAAGAGGAAATCGAAAAAAATTGTTTTTCTCATGATCTAACTGAAATTAGGGAAAAGAGACGCCCAATGTTATTCTCTAGAGTCTAAAGAACATAACAAAAAAATTTGAATCGGATTAAAATCGTGGTCCATGGGGCATTTTTACCAGGCAAAGTGAAAAATGAAGTTTTACCATGAAAGACAAAAATTGATTGAATTCTACATGATTCCTATTTTTTTAGAAGTTCCAGTACATATCAAAAGTCGCTCAAGAAGTCTATTGACCCACCACAGGCCTTTAAATATCAGAGACTTCCCCTTCAATTAATTAATTGGAAATTATTATTAAGTATTATTATTATTATTATCTTAATCAAATTAAGATTTTTGTTTATGATAGAAGAGAGAGTGATCTCCCTAGGGTATGTAAAAAAATTTTTTGTCGACATTGAAAAACAAAAACTGTAAGTATCGTTCAACTCGAATTTCAAATTTTCGAGCAAGATGACCCTGCCATAAGACCCTTAAAATACCCTCGCCTTCAAGTCAGAAAAGCGTTGCGGATTATTCAATTAAGAATTTTGCATATTCCAGATAACCACGGTTTTCCAAGCCCTGATTGAAGTTTTTAGCGAAAGATATAGCTTTCCCTTTCAGGAAGTTTTTGCATTCACGACAGATTCAATATAAAATTCAAAACATCATAAAATAGAAATGAAGAAGAAAATACCTTGCTTCTCAACCCTTTCTTGTCTTGCATTTGCCAAAAATTTTTCCTGTGCTTGAATAATTTCCTCACTAGTGGAGCATGCAGCGTAAGCAGCGAGCAAATCTGAATTCAATTCTAAAAACGAGTGACCCCAGGAAAATTTTCCTAGATAAAAATTTGCTTCATCTGGAAATCCAGTTATAATCATCATAGCAGCTATTGCTTCAACACAACTTAATTGGCAAGGCTTCCCATAATTTATCGGATTGGCCGCGACAAGAAATGGGAGGAGACGTGGATTTGGACTTCGTATTCTACTGAATGGTGTGTCTTCGAGCTTTGCCCAACTGCAGTCGACAACAGCACAACCGTGTTCCTGCACTATTTCACGATCGGTTGGTGCAACACACTGCAGGGAAATAAACAAGAATTGATTGAAACACTTACATGATTTTGTCCAGGTACATGAACATGAGTTTAATACTATTGTACATTGAGAAAAAAGGAATGTACAATGTGCACTGAAGAATGTTCTCAAACAAGTCTTGCTTGAACCACAAAAAATCGCAAGTTGATAATTGCCACTGTAGACATTATTATATGTGAAGATGAATAGTCACTTTGATCAAGTATTCCACGCAAAATGGTGCCACTTAAAGATGAAAATATCTCTCATAAAGTAAAGCTAATCGAGAAGTTTTGTTCCCAAGTTACAGAATTTTTGTCAGATTTGTCATTACTATTCTATTTAAGTATCTTGTAGAGTTTGGCACAGACCACACTATAGATTCCACCATTTTCAATCACCAAATTAGTCAATTAAATGGCGTGAGAAAAATTTGAAAAAACGAAAGAATGTTCAGCGTCATTTCCCGACATACATTACAGTTGGCACAGAATTACTATTTTTTTAAACATTCGTTGTTTATAAATAAATAATTAAAATTGTTTAAACTTTCAACAGGAGCATGAAATCAATTTCTGGTAAAATTCTGAATATGAATAAATTTGTTACGATTCTGGACAAATGATTTTTATGTCGGAAAATTGATTGTTGAAATAATAATCATTCTTTTCAGTAAAATATAACGATAGTTGTTAATTTGCCCTTAGAAGGATGGTGGCGATATACAGTAGTATATATATATATATATACACCTGTAATAATAATAATAAAATGTAATAATTATAAAACTGAAAAATCAATTATTTGAAATAATAATAATTCTTTTCAGTAAAATATAATGATAGTTTTTTTAAAATTATTATAAATTATTTATAGAAAATTCTCGTAATTTTCAAAAATCGGAATTTTTTAATAATTTTATCAATCTTCCTCGAAACGTAAACTTTATAATTTTCTTTCAGATTTTTGAAATGTTTTCTAATGGTTCAATACGGAGATTCTAGTTCAGACCTGCAAAGTTTAAATAATAAAATTATAGGGAAGAGTGGGGTAAAACGGTCCCTTTTGAATTTTTCAAAAATGTTAGCAGCTCATTCAATTTTAAATAAAATGGAATAATTTTTTCTCCATGGAAACTACACTTCTTCCCCTTTAGAATGAGCCTAGACTGATCTCAATTAATGAATTTGTTTCTGAGTTATGAGTATCACAAAAAAGTCAAAAGGGGCCATTTTACCCCATTCTTCCTTAGTAAAATGTCCGGAATTTTGGGGTCAAATTTGGCTCAAAAGAAAGCTCTTATGTTCGACTATAAATATAGAACAACATTTTATTAGCGACAAAACTAGTCAAAGTACTTAGAATCCTTAAGAATTCATTTCTTATTTTTAATTATTGGACAGCCAGAACGAAAGACTACCTTCTCTTCGTGAAAAAAAAAATCTATCGCGAGCAAAATACGTATGGTATGGGATAACGAAAAAGTAGTACTAAAAAAGAGATTTCTTGTTTGTACAGAAAATAACAATTTCTAAGAAAAACTAAATCTATTTGCGATCATTTTTTTTGTTAACACAAGACTTGTTTAAGAACGTGTTTTTTATTCTTTGAGTGTATTAATAACCAAATTACCCGAATGAGTAACCGATCAGTATATTCAAGAAGAAATAGAGGATACTTTTGAAAAGGAAGAAACTACTACAGATTTAAAAGATCTCCTGAGTACTCTTTACTTGTGCAAAATTTCGAAAGCTGAAAGAGACATGCAATTTGAATTTCAAGGACGTGAGCTGTTTCATTTTCAAAGAATATGCATCCCTAAAAATTAAAAAGAAAACAAAATCTTTAAGTTTCCGGTCATACACATCTCAAGAATGGAACGATCGAGATTTTATAAATTTTGGTGATCTTTTATTTAATGTATCCAGTAACAGATGATCACAATTTAGGATTAAAAATTAATTGATAAGGAAAAATTGGCCACCAATCAGTGACAGCTCAAAAAGTGACTCTCTAATTTTATAATCTTTAGAATTGACTCCCACTATTAAAGAAAAATTCTAATTAAGGGGGATAACGGCTAATTTTTTTCTATATTATCTACTTGCTAATACACGAAACGTCCCGATTAAAAGGGATAACGGCCCGTCAAACCTGAAATTTGGACGGCCTCAAAAACTTAGAACATAGAACATAGATCTAAATTTAGTGCTCCTGGCACTGCGAAATTTCACAGAAGTATAGTGTTGAGACCCCATTAACAAACTCATGAAATCATGAGTCCAACATTCTAAAATTCTAGAATGTGTTCGTCAATGAGAATTGATTTCCCAAATCCCGAATATATACCTTATTCCCAACAGGTGTTAGAACTAATCCCGTAAACCTCGTATTCAACCTCAAAGTTTTGATGAGGCCATGTCGAGATAACTTTCTTCCAGAGCATTTTTTCGGATCGCAATGCTCAAGATCCCACATAGCAACCGGAAAAGAACATGGCGATTCCTCTTTCTCTAGAAGGAAAGTCCTGTCATTATTCTTCTCATTATTTTCCTTACATACACCGACAGAAAAAATTAATTTTATCAAGAGAATTTTATTTCTATTTTTGAATTCCAGTTATCTCTTCCTGAGATACATTTCATCGAGAGAAATCGAACTTCTCTAGAATTGAAGTTCCTTTTATTTGTCTCAATAATGAGAGTATTCGATTTCTTTCTAGCCAAAAGTTTGCCAACTCCAGAAATTCGTTCGTTTACTCAAAAATCAAAATTATTCTCATGACTAAATACGTTATCTCAATCAACACGATCATACGTTGCTCCAAGTAAATTATAACTGAAGTGAGCATTTCGTATGCCGAATCAGGATGAATATTGTTACGCGGAAAAAGCTTTGAGATTGTAGTAAGATGTCGTTGAGTTGAAAGAAGTTTATATTTCTTGACTAAAAAAATGGCATTAGTTTACAATAACAGAATCACAGATTCCGGCAATTCAACGCAAACTTGGATATCACAAATGTCGTTCAATGTAATGTACGGAAAGCTCAATTTAATAGCGCTTTTCTTGAATCGCCTTTTCTCAAACTTATTTGAGTATGTTTCTTCAAAACGATTTTTTTTGTGTTAGATTTTTACATGTTTTTTGAAACCAGGATTAACCTCTGACCCCTCACCCCCCCTTTGCCTGTTAGGGTTCAATTGTTTTAGAGGTTAATCCAGGTTTCAAGACATGTAAAAATTATAAATAAAAAAAGTAGTTTTGAAGAAATACATTCAGATAAGTTTGAAAAAAACAGTTCAAGAAAAGCGCTATAAACATCGGCTTCATTCAAGAAAACAACATTCAATTCATTCCTCAATATAATCATCGCCTAGGTACGAATTTTTTATCAATGCATGAAAGTGGAAAGTTTCTCAACCGGAGATTATATTAGGTTAAAAAAAAACAGAACTTTTCTATTTTTGTGGTGAACACATGTGACTTGACGCCAAGGACTGTTATATTTCATTCAAGTAAATGTATCTGAAGAAGAAATAATTGATACTCACCGTAAGATCTTATTTATTTGAAATTGGTTCAAGTATATAATACTTGCTCCAAGAAAGAAACATCTCAATAAAGATAATTTTTTCTATCAGTGTTTTGCAATGTTTCTCTCACCTTCTTCAACCTCATCATCCTGGTCAGACATATCCCTCTGCTGCCGATACTTTTCTTCTTTTCCCACGACTTGTCGCTTCCTCCTTTCATGCATTTTTCCTTTACTCTTCTTCTTAGTCGACATTTCTTTCAAGATTATAAACTAAATCTTATAAAATAGACAGTAATGTCAATATTCAACCAACCAGTTGCAATGAGGTTAACAATAGGAATGCAACAACACCGTAACAAGTTGCGCATAGATACCGCAGATGACAGTGAGGGCGCCACCGCACACTCTGTGTCAATCTACGATTCATTCACAGCTGATCAATCAACTGATTGCACAATATCATTGTTGTAGTTCCGACAAAAATATTTCCTGGTGTGTTCTCCAATTTTTTAAGTTTTTCCCTGTTCATGGATTATTGACGATGTCACAAGACAGACGCATCATCCAAAAGGAACCGAATTGATTGATAACGAGATAAAGGTAGGTAAACAATGAATGTCATCAGCATTAATCATCCAGTTTCGTCGGTATTACTCATTACTCATGGATCATTTTTAATATTTCTAAGTTAATCAATGGAGTAAGGAATAAGCGATCCGAATGGGATTCCAAGTAAATTCCGAATAACATACGTTGTGACTAATAATTTTCATTACATATTTCACGTTCATCGTAGAGTAGTCACATGAATTATATGCGTAATACATCACTTCGGCTTCTATGTGGTCGTTGATTCGTTTCTAGTCGTTATTATCAATGTTTATTTGTTCATGCCGCGAGGACGATGGACCCAGGTACAATCCTATGTCAATAATTGTAGTAGTATTTCAGTACCAACCTGTTGCCATTTACTTTCAAGGATGTTTATCCGAAACGCAAACATGCCATTTTTTTTCAATTTTTTAAAACTGATTCGCTGAGTTATCTCCGTGTTGATAAAAATTTCTCTAGCAACCCGAGTTGATTATTCATAAATAAAATAGATAATATGCACCGAATGTGGGCGTCAGCGTGTAGTTATATGGGGCTTAAGGTTTCAAATATCTGCCTTATCCGCCTGGATAGCCCGGGTTTTCTTTGGCCATTGGATTCAGTAGGAGAAGGTGGGGCAATATGGATATCTGGAGTACAATTGACACTCAAAAAATTTGTGAAAAATTTGTTTCTTTCAAAATTCAAATTTTGACAATTGCGTCATTGGGCAATGTGGACACATAATCTGGTTCATTTTTTTCCACTATCCCCTATAAAATTCAATCCATTTTGTTCCGTATTCCGTTTTAAAATTCAAGTTTTTTTAGTTTTTACCTTAAAAACTCACCTTGGACCACTATTTTTATCCGGTCTGGAATTTTTTCTCCAGAATTGTTCGTTAGAGTCTAATTCATTGTGCGTTCTTTAAAGCACAAAATTTTGGCATACATTACGGGGCAAAATGGGTTGGATTCAACATGTTTGCTACTTATTAGATGTCCCATCAAGCATTAAAAGTCGCTCGACGGGTTTTTTTCAGCGACCAAGGCCTTTCAAGTGTTTGAGTGGTCCCCCTTAAACGAAAATTCGGATATATATCTTTTTGAATGAATATTTTTTTTATTCAACACAAAATACATATTTTAAGCCATGATTGAATTCATCTGAAGCATGATATTCAAAGATATCCCCGGAATTCTGATTTTCAAAAAATACAAAATTTTCGCAAATTTTCAAATAAATCAAAATAACGATTATGGCTATCGCCTTCATCTTCAACCTCGGTCAAAAGGATATCTAAACGAATTTTTTTAAACGTCATTCAATCCCTTCAGAACATTTTTTTAGTTATCGTTGGACAACCGATTTTCTAAGAAATTCGAAAATTAACCAAGTGGGCAATTGCTCTTATATTGCATGTAATATAATTATTTTTGCTAATAAAAAATTTATTACACTGAATAAGATTTCTTTTTAACTGATTTCGTCAGATTCTCCACTTAGTTGAATGTTATCATCATCGTTATTCTTATTATCCCGTTCTTGTATACAACCGGTTATCTTTTTTACAGTTCTACTTCTTCCCTCAGCCCTTCGATAAAATGTAAATAGAAAAAATTGATTTATGTATACTTGAATGAATTTGAAACATCACATTTGAAGAAACCATCGGAAAGCTCATTTTCAAGGAAATTCATGAAAAATTCCAATTTTTCAACAAACATAAAAATCAAATCAACCAATATAGCTATTGTAATCATTTTTTAACTTCAGCTTAATGGCGTTAATACAAATATTTTCAGCCATGATTGAATTCATTTCAGGCATGATATTCAAAGATATCCCCGGAATTCCGATTTTTCAAAAATACAAAATTTTCAAATAACTCAAAATAACGATTCCCACTGCCGTCTTTATATTCGAACTCAGTCAAAAGAACATCCAAATAAATTTTTTAAACCATCATGCAATCAATCCAAAACATTTTTTTTAGTAATCGTGGGACAACCAATTTGCAAAAAAAATCGAAAATTTGAAAAACTAATCGATGAGTTAAATTTTAATTAATGGCAATTCATACATCTCAACAATACCTACATTTGAGAAAAAAGATTCAATTCCGTCGATTCATTAGCGAACAATTGAAGAAAAACCTTGTTGCACACATACACACACACGTCCGGAGGTCTAAAAATTGAATTTCCTCACTTTTGGATCATACTGGGTTGATATAACACAAAAAATCCCAACCTTCAATTTGAACGATTACAAAGTTTCCATTCGGAAGCAACAAAAGCAAAATTACAGAATTTTTCCCGGACATGAAAACATTTGATTGTCGGAAAATGGATCGACATCCTTAACAATGCCTCCATTGTAGCAGTATTATACTAATTCCTAATGATTGTTTTCTTATCACCTAACATCGAAGAAAATATAGGTAAAGAAGCAATTCTGAGAGTGGCAGAGTGGGTGAACAAAATCCGGAAGATGAAGCGCCGAGGAGGACCAATACAGCAGTGGGTTGATTCAATTGCAACCCCAACAAAATCAGTTGATGTACAAATCCACTGTGATAGCCATGACCTAACTCCACCACCAACCCCAGAACATTCCAAAGATGTGATGTACAACAGTAATCCAGCCATGACTATCTCCGCACCATCATCAGTACCTTGCTCATCAACGATAACACTGACAAGTAGTCTAAGGTATTGTTTCGCATGATTTACAATTGAAATATAAAATATAATAGAACAATATCAGTAGAAGTCATAACCGATTCAAGTGAAACTTGCATTTGAATTTCTGGTGGAGAATGACATTAGCCGAGGGATCGGTTTTCGGATTTTATTCTCCTGTTTTTTTTTTATCGTTATTTTACATCGCTTCGACCCGGTTAAGGTATACTGCGATGATTATCAAAAGACTTTAAATGGTTAGATCGCACCATTCTACCCGACCGGGATTTGAATTCGGAACCTTTCACATGTGAGGCAACGAAATTACCCACTGCGCCAAGCCACCGGGCCTTTATTCCCCTGTCAAAAATGTTGGGGAAAAAGTTTCCCATGCGCAGAAAATTTATCATTAAATTTAGTCAAACGACAAATTGATCGCGATGAGCCTAACGAAATGACTCATCCCAACCGATAAGAAAATTAACACACAAGTTCAATCCTTGACGATGGGAAGTGTGCATCACTTGGAACTTGTTGGACATTGATAATTAAGAAAAAGGAGCATACTGTTTCTCAGTGAGAATCGGATAAATCGTGTCTACAATTGATGCTTTAGAGAGGACTTTTATAGGGGATTTTCCAATAATTTGGAAAGAAGTCAATTGTTCTGCGTATATAAATTATTCGACATTGATAATTAAAAACAAACAGGGGTACGAGCCCATCGGACAGAAGGCATGTGCACATGACCGTTACTTTTTGCGTTATTAGTCTCTTTCTTTTTTTATTTCTACCAATTCCGTTGGTAGTAAGCTTTCAAATGGATCCGGAGCAATTCAATTGTTCTGCGATGATTGAAAATAGTACATTCTCTAATTGGGGACTGAAAACAGTCTAGTGGTGCCTACGTGACACAGTGCCACTCGGGCCGGAAGCAAGTACGCAGGTCTGGGAGAACTGTTTTTCATTGCGTAGTATAAACTTTTTTTTTCTCGACACTGTACGGAGCCTGTGTTTTTCTTCTCAAGAACTGTGCAAACGCGAGGAAAAATTTGCGTCACTCCAGACATTGTCTCGAATTTTCTCATCACGATGAAGAAAGGAATGCAGATGAAGAAGGAGAAAACTCTTTGAATTGAAGGAGATAATTACAGGCATACCCCAAGTTTCCAAGAATATTGACATTTCGTTTTCCCTTGATCATCATGACGTGACGTCATCATGACGTATCACATTGAAATTATTATGTCAATGAATCATTCGGCACGAATTTCAATAAATGAAGTCTTGAATGATATCGAAAAACGACTGAATATCAAAGACATAATTTCTTGCGCTGAGAAAATAGAATAAACGTTCGATCATTTCACGAGCGGTTTGGGATAAGAAATCGGACCTCTTTGCTATGAAGCAGTACGATACTGAATGAAAAATTAACTTTTTTTGCTTCCGAATGCAAATGGTTTAGAATACTATGAAATGTGAAGAAATGATGTTTTTAGGGTCAGGTCTGTATGTTATATCCGACAACTTGGGTTTTGGTGATTAATTTAATTAATAGAAATTTAACATAAAAAATCTGAAATTTTGACTCATTGTAGCTATTATTGAGCTCAACTTTGGCGCGCGGTTTCAGCCCGATCGGTCCAATAGTTCCTGTGATACAACAACTTGTTTAAATTTCGTTTTCCTCAATATCTCAAAAACTACTGCACCGATTTCCAATTTTTTTTTCGAAATACTCGTCTTGTTTGATCAAGAAATTCTCACTCGATTGTGCCTTGAACATGAACGCTTCTCAAAATTCGCATATGACTTGCTTCATTCAGCGGGATTCTCGTGCTGAACCATTCGCCCTCACGGGATATCTTTTCAGAAATTAGTTTTGTGACATCAGGTCGTTTCTTTCTCTTAGTGTAGACTCACTTAGTAGACACTGAATACCCCTGAAACAGCAGAACTGCTGTTGAAATTATGCGTAGGGAAGAGTGAGGTAATATGGACATTTGGGGTAAAACGGACACTCAAAAAATTAGCGAAACAAATTTTTTTTTCAAAATTCAAATTTTAGAAAATTGTTTCTTTAGGCAATCTGGACACAAAAAATTTTCAGTAATCGAATTTTAAAAAATTGCTTTTTGGAAAAGTTCACAATCGAAAAATTATTCAAGAGTGGGGTAAAATGGACACCCGAAAAAGTTGATCCTATTCAAAAGTCAAAAAAATTTCAACAGGCACTTTCCAACAGAACGGTGTGGGTATTTTTTTATAGACAGAAATTAGAGTTGGAAGAGATATTAACAAATAAACTTCAACTGCATTAAATTTTCCATTGAAGTTTGAAATATAGAGTAGCTTTAGATTTCCTGATTTACTATGGAAATAACTTTGAAATTATTTATTTTTTCAATGAACAAGTGCACGCCTTACACAATTGACCTTTTGTCCATTTCCGAAATTTGTAAGATGACTACTTTTCTACTCACAACCGAAATCACCATAAAACAATGGGGGGAGGGGCGGATAAATGAGCAAAGAAAAATTCGGTTTACCACCCCCACGACGAAAATCAAAAATGAGTTTTTTTTTCAATCTGAAAATCGCAGTCATGACTAGAGTTTCAGAAATTGAATAATATTGTTGAAACCTAAGAAATTGAGGAAGAAATCGAAGTGTCAATTTTACCCCGTTTTTGCTTTACCTTACAACTCCTACCACTCAGTCTTATGACAATGCATTTGTTTTTATAACTTTTAAATGAAGCCGGAACAGCAGATTTGATGGAGTTCAACTCAATATTCAAATCTGGTGTTGGCATTACCCCACCTGCCCCTATAACCTGGTCACAAATTTTTTTATAACTTCTAGCCCTGGTCCACACAACAGATTAATGAGAGACCCGAGTTTGCAATCCGACAGCAGCCACTGTAGTAGCGTCGAAAGTCTTCTAGAACTTCGCAGGGCCGATCCCGAAGCGATCCTCCTAGGCCTCGGGTTCGGCGGATGTCCCAAGGCCTCTCAGGATAATGGACCACTTTCGCGTATCCCAAAAAGATTCCTCCAGCCATCAAAATTGAAGGGCATCACCATCGATGATTTCGTCAGACAGCAGCAAGAAACTACTGAATCGATTGATTCAGCTTCATTGGGCTATCGTGGATTAACTGGTAATGTTTCTTCCCTTGTTCTCTCTTAAATACTAAGATATTCCTGTTTGAAAATTTTCCGATCATTTGGCACAAGCGAAATGGGGAACGATACACTACGACATGAAAGAAATATAATAACTTTGTCTGACATATCCTGTGAATAATGATTTGTAAGCTTTGTGATGATGTGAATTTTATAGGTAGCAACGACACGCTGAGCGTGCCGAAACGCGTATCACGTCGTAGATATTCCGGGCCTAGTGACTTAGTAAGTCCATGCAGCGATTCAAAAGTTTTACGTCTAACACTGTATGAATAAATACTGTGTTTCACAATTTTTTTCGGTTGCGTCTATCCTGAAACTGAACTGAACACTATTTTTAATCGTGGGCATTCGTTTCAGAAGACACTTCTATTATCGTTTTATTTTCTGTTTTGTGCATGTGAATTGTGCTCAATAATGGTTCTTTTATGTATAGTAATTAATATTGCCGTCTGAAGCGGGGCCTGTGTTTGTCTTAATGAAATTTTTGTCCATTTATTAGGATCACCATATGTGGCTCCATCAGAAATAGTTCAAAAGATTATGGAACGTCTACGCGAACATGAGAGTCATGAGCTCGATGCTTATACGGCATACAATTCTGAAACCTGTACTACATCTCCAGTACAGCAGAGTGGACTCTCAGTATTATCTCCGGATAATCGGCAGTTTCTAGACAGACAGCGATCTAAGAGCCCTGATATTTGCAACAAACGTATGATCATAGGTAAGCTTCGTCGAGTTGTTATGAGTGAATATGACGTTTGTAATTGGGGGTCTTTGGGTCGTTTCAATTGCTTACACAGGGGAAAAAATTCTAGAGTGAACAGGCCAAGTCTAGAGTGAATAGACCTTTTCATCCTGAGAGTCACTAGATTTTCTGATATTTTTTTCCCATTTCAATTCCTCTAAGAGTTCCGGACACTTTTACGGAATTTACATGTGGGAAAGTGGGGCAAAATGAAACAGCGAGGCAAAATGAAAAAGTCAAAAAAATGACTGTTTGACGCAATTCAAGCAAAAAAAATTTTTTTTATTAAATTTTTTTTAGGGGGGCGGGGGTAAACGGACATTTTAGACTTTTTAAAAATTATTCATAACTCAGAAACAAATTGATCAATTGAGCTCAGTTTAGGCTCGTCACAAAGGGAAAGAATTGTTCTTTGTATTAAAAAAAAATTATTAAATTTTATCAACATTCCAACCCCTCATTAACATTTAAAAAAAAGTCAAGTGTCCGTTTTACCCCAACCTCCCCTATTAATTTTTTTCATTCTTGAGAGTACTTTCCATTCAGTAGAACAGAAAATTATCAAGAAGTTTTGACGGCTGAAGATTTTGTCAATGGATTAATTGAAAAGCAAATGAAACAGCGAAATCCAAAGTTCAGAGCAAGGCCCAGCGGGAGACCCAAAGGGGGAAAAAGGAAAATATGATGCTGAATTTCAGCTAAATAATCCATTGACAAAATCTTCGCCCGTTAAAACTTCGCATCAATTTTTCATTCTACTGAATGGAAAATTAGTATTCTCATTAGTACTCCCAAGACCAAAAAAAAGTTGACAAAAAAAAATTTAATAAAAAACTTTTTTTTGCTTGAATTGCATCAAACAGTCGTTTTTTTTTTACTTTTTCATTTTGCCTCACTCTCCTCTATCAATCATAATTTTTGACGGCTCAAATCTGTATTATCTATCAGTTTGATGAACGGAATAAATCTTTCCCCTAGATTTCCAGAATGAAAAGGTCTATTGCTGGACAGTGAAGGGGAATTCGAGTTTCGTCGTAGGATCTCAAATAAAAGAATCACCTAAATAGGGATATGATGGCTTCCATACCTTCAAGAATGTTTTAATTACCAGAACAAAATTATTTGAAGCGAACATAACAAAACAAAGAATAATTAAATTAAGAAATAGTTGAATGCAGCTGAAACCCCTAATTTCTGGACGACTGAGCCGCATTTTTTTAATTTATTAAATGTCGATCAATAGAAAAAATTGTTGATCACATGATTACACACGAGTAATATTATTGAACGGTGAAGTAAAAAGTACAATTTTCATTTTATTTATGGAATATTCAATTCAAGCTGAAATCGTCCAGATACTAACTCCTGTCTAAAAATAGACCGGTTTATCCTAGTTTCCAGTAAAAATTTTTGAATTTCACAACTCTGTCGTATTGAATTCTAGGGAACAAAAAGTCCAGGAAATAAGTGAATTTTGTTTATTCATTTCAAGGAAATTTTCCCTAAAACAATTAGAGAGAAAATTCTAATTCCCATATATTTTCAATAAATCTAGTGCAATTGTACTGAAAATCAGGCATATTTTCTCTCAGTTTAAGGAAATCTTCGTTCTGCAATTCAGAACTTTTGGGTCCTTCAAAGAAGAACTTTGGGATTCTTGAATTAAGAACGTTCTCGTTCTTGAATTGAGGATACTTCTTGTTCTGAAAGAATCTACACTTGTTTATGATTTCATTGCTATTCAAAGTATCTCACCTGACACCTTGACTCAATTAATATTGCATTAATGTTCAATTATTCCAAAATTTAATTCAAGAACGTAGAAGTTTCAATGGTTCTTAATTTTGGAATTATTTTTGCTCTAAGTAGATTTAACAAACTAAAATTTAACAAACTGTTTCTTATTATCAATGTCATACCTTCTAGAATCTTTTTTTATGAGTGGTACTCATGAGATTAAAATTATACGGTAATTTTTTTTAAAACTATACTTAACTCAAAAATATTTTTGAATCAAGACACAAAGTACTTGCCTCAATAATAATATTCCCGATCTAACAATATTTATTCTCCGTGCATAATATTGATATTAATATTTTCACAGACGAGAAAGTCATTAACGAGACAATTTTTTATTCGCATTCTAGGAAAAAAATCATTCGCATTCAGTTGTGATGGTGATTTAATCGAGATAAATAATCCGCCAAGTCTCAACACTCAGAACTACCGTGATCATTTTATGAATCGGTCTCTTCTCGAATCCATTAACGTCGACTCGAGCAATGAACAGTGTCGAATCGTGCCGGAATCTTCAACAAACAACAATATATGTCCGTGGAATTCATCTTCATCAAACTCTGACCCTAGCAGTGATCCTGTAATAGAGCCCAATTGTCGATGTGGGTCACTCGACAATGAGAGTCTCATGGATGACAATAACATTCATGGTGACGATTCACCGGACATTGAAACGGCAATACCAAAATACCATGATAACGATAGAGATTGGACTACTTCTAATTTATCAAGTGATACCACTATCCCTTTTTCTATGGATAGTCCTAGAAGAGCAAGTGATAGTTCTTGTGCAGCACAATCAATTAATTCATACGATGAGGGGCGTAGATTCAGCGATGGGACCATGCGAGTGAATCCTGATAGATCTAAACGAAAAAATCAAAGCAGGAGGATTCTCCAACGCCAGGCAAGAATAAGAGAATCTGATGCCATCGAACTCCCGCTCCCAGACTCCCCCGATTCTCTATCCATCGATAAGTTAAATAATTTTGATGGTGTTGCTTCCGAGAAGGACCATGAAATTACAGATGTACAAACTAGTTCCATAGAAACTCAGAATCAGAGTGTAATGAGGCCAAGTACAAGGAAGACGTTTTGTGACCCCAAAAAACACCATTTGTGTTGTAAAAGTGATAATGAACAGATATGTATACACGAGGAGAACTGTGAGGAATGTTGTTACTACAAAAGTACAAGGAACTGTTGGCGAAAAATGCACAAAATCATGAAGAAGAATGAAAAATTGGAAAATATGGTTGCCAAGAGCAGACAAGAAATGGCGGAAATCCGAGAGATGTTGAGTAGTGTGTTGTCAGTAAGAATGGAGCCCGGTTTTTGATTTCTTACGACATCTACATAATATTAATGATAATCAAAAGAAAAATGAGGATACAATCTACATTCCTAGAGGATAATTTGAAGTGACTACTCATGGCAATATTTCTATATGAATATTCTACCTAGTGACTAGTGACATTCCATTCAGGAATAATTTTAGAGTCTCTTATTGGTTTAAACCAATATTTACTGATTACTTTTTCTAATGCTAAGAACCAATTGAGAAGATTGCAATTTTTATGCTTCGTTCGTAAATGATATTTACAGATATTTTACATGTAGACTCACAAAAAATGAAAATAATGAATTACAATCAAGCAGGTTTCTGCTGTCATGCCAATGGGACCTGGATTACGTTGTTATCGTAATTTTCTTGCAATTATTGCAATTAATTTTTCGTATTGAGCTATTTTTGCTCAAGCTGCGATCGCCACCTAACAGTGGCCAATATTTTTTATTCCGTGTAGCTTTATATCTATTCTGTAATATAGATTTTGTTATCAATTTATTGGTATTTCTACCAGAGATCTATTATACGTATTTTTAGGGGCATACATTCTCGAAATGTCTTGCAAATGTTTTTTTAAAACACGATGACTCAAAAACGTAGCGACCTATTTATCTTGCGACCAATTCTGTCTATTAACGATACCGGTCGTGCCTATCAGAATTAGTAATGATTTATGTATCAAATTTAAAAGTTCTAATAATATTTTTGCTCGAATATCATTCGAGTAAGTGTGTTCACAAGGCGTTTTTTGTGAAAAGATGTTGGAACTGGAGTAACTCAAGATCGAATAATGAGCAATTTATCAAAAATTATATATTGTATGATATATTGAATGATAGTACATATTTTGATGTAAGTACCAGCGCAGAGAGTACATATGCGTGTTTTCGCCAATTATTGGTATGGTTTTGGACCTTCAAAAATTTAATTTCGTTGCGGCTTCTTGTATGGCCGTCTTATGATTCAGAGACTAAAATTTTTTTTTCAAATTTTGTTGCGCCCACAACGTTAATTTTCTATATAAGAAAGGTCAGGAGATATTGGAGAAATAATTACGAGTTTGTTTAAATTGTCATAGTGCGACGTTTCGCTAAATTATTTTAGCTTCATCAGGCTGTTGACAGCGATCTACGTTAATTCTTGAGTTTTGCGAGCTTTTGACAAAATTTTGCGTTTCAGCACAGGTCAATTTTTTCGTGTTTTCGCAAAGTATTTCGGCCGGAAATTTCTCGTTCTTTCGAAATTTTCTTTTCCAATTTCATTTTTTCAAAATTTTCCCAATTTTTAATTTTTTCATTTCAAAATTCACTATTTATCAACCATTTATAGAACATAAATAATGAATGTGTGAGCTAATTGGCGCCATGCTCAATCGAAAGAACGGAAAATTTCCGTCGGAAATACATATTGAAAACCCGAAAAAATTGACCTCTACTGAGACGCAAAATTTTGTTAAAAACTCACACAATTAAAAAATTAACGTTGCAAGCGTAATAAAATTTGAAGAAAAAAAATAGAAAAAATTTGTTGAAGCCTTTTGAGTAATAAGAAACCCATATTAGAAGCCTCAACAGAATCTAAATTTTTGAACGTACAAAAACATACCAATAATTGGCGAAAACAGCCACATAGTTTTACTTTATTTCAGACCGAGTGGAAAAATTTGAACTTAGGTCAACTCACTAACTTCAATGTTTTTTAGGTCGATTTTTGACCTGAAATAAGAGAAAGTGAGAAACAATTAATTTATAAATTTAAAAATTATTCATACGCAAATGATAGAAAAAAAGGGATACAATTGTGTCCTTGAGAATGAAAATTGAAACAGTCCGGAATTCTGTGCTGGCACAGAGTGTAGTGTTGATTGCCTACAATTGTTGAAATTTTCATGACTTTTACATATTAGAAAATCCTTATTGGTAAAGATTTTTTCAGGTCCAAGTATTGAAATTTTTTTCAAAGTTCCACAACTGTAAACATTTTAAAGTGTAAGTGTATTTTGGTTGGTATTTGGCCTGGTCTTTTATCTTCGCTGCACTGGCAGAACAAATTAATTTTATCAAGAGAATTTTATTTGAGCCAACTATCATTGGGTTGTTAATTTTCAAATGAACATGATTTTTTTTTATTTACAAAGAAACATGATTTCATAGTGAATGCCAGTGATCGCTTCTTGAGATACATTTGATTGGGAGAAATCTAACTCCTCTAGAATTGAAGTTCCTTTTATTTGTCGCAATAATGATAGTATTTGATTTCTTTCAAGCCAAAATTTTGCTGTTTCCAGAAATTCGTTGGTTTACTCAAAAACCAAAATTATTCTCATGACTAAATACGTTGTTATCTCAATCAACACGATCATACGTTGTTCCAAGTAAATTATAATTGATATGAGCATTTCGTATGTCGAATCAGGATGAATATTGTTACGCGGAAAAAGCTTTGAGATTGTAGTAAGATGTCGTTGAGTTGAAAGAAGTTTATATTTCTTGACTAAAAAAGATCGCATTAGTTTACAATAACAGAATCACAGATTACGGCAATTCAACACAAACCTGGATATCATAAATTTCGTTTAGTGTGAGGTACGGAAAGCAAAATTTAAACATCGCCTTCATTCGAGGTAACAACATTCAATTCGTTCCTCAATGTAATCATCTCCTAGGTACGAATTTTTGATCAATTCAGGAAAGTAGAAAATTTCTCGACTGGAGATTATATTGGGTTAAAAAAATTGGATTTTTCCATTTTTGTGGTGAATACATGTGACTTGACGCCAAGGACTGTTTTTTTTATTCAAGTAAATGTATCTCAAGAAGAAACAATTGATATTCACCGTACGATCTTATTTATTTGAAATTGGTTCAAGTGTATAATACTTGTTCCAAGAAAGAAACATCTCGATAAAAATATTTTTTATATCAGTGTCGGCAGAGAAAAAGCGGCCGGATAACTACAAAGTAGTTGTATTTATCCAAGATGGTCGGTGTTCGGGCACCGGCCGAGACTTCGAGATTTCATTCTCAATAAACTAGATGAAAAAACGTTCAAATTTTTCAATTCGAATATTTTTATTCTTTTTCTTAATCGGATGTTAGGTCTGAAGAAGATACACGCTCACTTCACATAGTCACCCAATTTTTTGGGTATTTTTCTCATTTTTTGTTAATTTTTACTGAAGAAATGGAAAAGACTCTTACCTTAGCCCTCTGGGAAATGCCGTCTTGAATTATTGAATGCAAATTTCGTTGAAATATGAATGATGCATGTAGGGTATCCCCATCGTACTTGTTCTTCCATGTATTTTTGTTTTTCAGACTTTATTATTTAAAATAAATAAAGGCCATAAAGCATAAAGCCAATTATGAGTTTCATTTTTCATGCAATAAGCCAAATGTAAAGAAGGAACGTAAAGGAGGAGGAAATTCTGATGTTAGTTGGTGTGCAAAGAATGCACACCAATTTTCAGTAGTAATACCCTGAAACCTTGAAATATTAGTGTACTATCTGCAGGACAGTTTCCCTTCGAACTTTTTCATCCTGAGAATATTCATCCTACCATCCTGCACCTTCCAATTTCGCACCAGGACGCTCCATCTCAGACTCACATTATCCTCATCAAAATTATTTATTCAGGCATTTTATTCAATTACTTCATTATTTAATTATTGTTATCTCGATTGCTTTCCCATCTTCATAATGTAAAATATATCACAATTTTCATTGGATTTTATATCACACCGGAGTCCCTAAAAATTAATATTGTACAATTAAAAAAAGTAAAAAAAAACTGAACATTTTCAAAGAGCGTTTTTAATAAAGATTAAGAGATAAGTCCGATAGAGAGGAAATAGTAAATGGATAATTTATCATTGTAACTAACGATCTGACAGCCACTGACTAATATGAAAAATGACGACCTACCAGCCATTAGATGCTTCAAATTATTAATTTGCAATTTCCTCCCTATTGGGTTTATTTCCCAATATTATTTAAAAACGCTCTTTGAAAATGTTCAGTTTTTTCAACGTTTTTTTGATTGTTCAATCATAATTTTTGGAAGACTAGGGCTTTGTGAAACTGAATAGCAATTGGAGATCATTTCAGATTAGCAAAATGGAACAAACCAATCAAGATCACGTTCGAAAAATAATCCAGCTGGGCCTTAGTATAAGAATTTATTGAACTTGTGTTCAATGAATTCTTTTCGTAGGGGAGAGTGCAGCAAAATGAAACAGTCGAAAAACGACTGTTTGACAATTCAGACAAATTTTTTTTTAATCAACTTTTTTTCATTATTGGGAGGACTGATGAGAATAATGATTTTTCGTTCAATAGAATGGAGAATTATTGAGATGTTTTGACGGGAGAATAGTTTGTCAATGAATTAATTAATAGGATGGCCCAGGGGGAGACCCAGAGGGGGAAAACGGAAAAAGCGATGCTGAATTTCAATCGAATGGAAAAAGAAAAATGCAATCGCTGTAATCTAATAACTTGAATTATAGATGAAATATTTCATGTTACTTGAAAAGAGAACTGTGGATAAAATTAGTGAAAATTATTAATATTGTCGTCTCAAAATAAGAAATATATGCAAAACCTTCGAGAGTTTCGAATGAGGAGAAAACATAGACTCAGCGATAACGAGGGCTTAGTTTGGATGCTGGAGAGTCAAGGGACAAGTTGACTAGTGGACGTTGAGATCGAGATCTAACAGGCGAGTGGGATTCATCTGTGGAGGTAGTCGATACACTCTATACTGGTTTCGAATATCAGTGATTTTTTCACACCGCATGTTCATTTCTACCGAATAGAAAATAATTACTCTCATCAGTATTCCCAATAATGAAAAAAGTTGAAAAAATATTTTTTTTTTGCTTGAATTGCCCCAAACAGGGTGAATCGTCCAGTGTTCGAACGAATAAGGTCACAGTTATTTTTGACGGAGATTGAAAAATATAACCAAGTCGAAAATTGATTTAAAAATAATTATGACTCCCCTGCACATCCCCATAGATAATAGAAAAAAATATTATGGATATTAATTGATGATACAATTAATGATATGAATAAAAAAAGCTGAAAATGTGTGAAAACCCAGTAATCGAAATGCGTATTCTGTAATGGAATATGCTATTGGCGGCGTGTCACCGAAAACTGTTTTTTCCGCTGGTAATAAGGTAACTTAGACATTTTCAATCATCACAATATCATTTGGAAATGTCATAATTTTATTTTTCATGTATAATGCGAGGCATCTCTACCTTCTACTAATTTATTTTATAGAAAAAGTACCAATTAGTTCGATTACTGGTCTGGTTCGAACACTGGTTGGTTCACCCTAGTCGTTTTTCGGTTATTTCATTTTGCCCCACTCTCCCCTATCTGTTTGAACGTTAATTACTCAGTAATATATCGGCTTACAGTGTAAGGAAATGAATGCAGGCAGAGGTATTCATATTTTCACAGTTTTTATTCGAATAAGAACGGAAAAACACAAAAAGATTATATTTTGTTCACTCACTCAGTAATTTTTTAGAAACAAGACTTGATCCATGTTGAGTCATATACGATTATCATAATGTTACTGCTAATTTTAAAAAATGACATTGTTAATCATGTTACAATAATTGATTGAATACACGGATGGAAACAAAAGGTACATTTTTCGAAGTCTTAATTTTGTATCAGCAATATATGACCAAGTTTGGAGTACACTTAACATTCGTGATATTATTTTTCATTAACAATAGAACAACTGTGTGTACCTATGATTTGCAAGTAGCTTCACTAGCAGTGAATTAATATGGCGTTTCTGCTGAACTTTTGTCGAACAACATATTGATGCGAAAATTAATGACATAAAAGTTTCAATGTTCTCTTTCGTCATAAAAGGGCATTCACTTTATTGAAAAATCATGGGGTAAGATTCATACAAAAAAAAGAAAGTGCGACATTAATTCCTTTGGTTTCATCGATGTACCAAGTTGTTTCACCAAGTAGAACGTCAAAAATAAACAGAAAATGATGGAGGTGAAGACATATTCCAACAATATTTACCCTTCCTTATCTACCCTGAAATAAAGAGAAAAAATCATTTGAATAGGGTATGCGAATGGCCAATTTGAACGCGAGTTCAGAGATAGTCAAAGAACACTGATGATACGTGGAACCGTTTTCTTCCGCGTTATTTACTTCTCAAAGACTTACTTTACGGTTTCTGGTTGCTCTTCAATAAGGTGAAGTTCAACGACGGTCTCGCTTCTGTTCTGCACCTTGAAGCTCACATGTGCCGCCAAGTACCTGTCTTTATGATTCGCGCACCATCCAGAGTACTGAGGGAAAATAAAATTGTTTCAGGTAATGTACAATCCTTCCTGTGCATTATGTCAACAATGAAATTCGTAAATCGTTGATTACCGTAGATGTGCCTCTATAAAGAGTTTTTCCCTGTTCTTTGAATGGCACATATTTCTGTAAAAGAGCCTTTCCATCTATCCTCCACAGAGTCGGATCGGTGTCGCCTCCAACATCTGCTTTTGCGACGACAAATGCTCCAGACTAGGAGGAAAAGTGTGAAAAAAAATCATTAATTGTAACTGATGAAATCAATAACCATTTGTATAATTAATGTGTAGGGGAGGGTGGAGCAACATGGACACCAGATGTAAATAATTAGTTGAATTGGATGAAATTTACTGTTCCGACTTCATTTGAAGGTTATAAATACGAACACATTGTTATAAGACTGCGTCGCAGAAGTTGTGAGGTGAAGCAAAAACGGGGTAAAATGGATACTTCGATTTCTTCCTCAATTTTTTATGTTTCAACAGTATTATTCAATTTCTGAAACACTAGTCATGATTGCGATTTTCAAATTCAAGAAAAAAATTCATGTTTACTTTCGAATGGGAGCATTGTAATCATTCACATTTACGTTCTGGATTTTTTGTGTTATTTCGACCCATTATGATCTAAAAAGTCCGAAAATGCAATTTATAGACCGCGTCCGTACGTATGTGTGTGTGGTAAAGTTTTTCTTCAATTATTCGCTAATGAATAGATACAATTCAATCTTTTTTTTTTCAAATGTAGGTGTTATTGAGCCCTGTCGATCGCAATTAATTAAAATTCAATTCATCGATTAGTTTTATCAATTTTCGAATTTTTTCGAAAATCCGTTGTCCCACGATAACTAAAAAAATGTTCTGAATTGATTGAATGATGGCTTAAAAAATTTGTTTGGATGTGCCTTTGACTGAGTTCAAAGATGAAGGCGATAGCAATAATCATTATTTTCATTTATTCGAAAATTTTCAAAAACGCGACGATTTCGTTTGTCTTGACTGAGACGCCACTCATTTAATTTATCGCCCAGAAGTATCTGTGATACAAATTTACCTCATTGATCCACCTTTGTATTTTCTTTTTTGGACCTGTTATTGGCTAAGGCTGTTGGTCCTCTATTCACGCCAAATAAATAAATAAATAAATAAAAACTTTGTATTTTTTGAAAATCAAAATTCCAAGGATATCTTTGAATATCATGCTTCAAATCAATTCAATCATAGCTTAAAATGTTTAAGCTATGCCATTAAGTCGAAGTTAAAAGATAATTACGATAGCTATATTGATTGATTTGATTATGATGATTGTTGAAAATTTTGAATTTTTCATGAATTGCCCTGACAGTGAGTTTTCTGATGGCTTCTTCAAATGTGATGTTTAACATTCATTCAAGTATGTGTACATAAAATTTTTCTATTAACGTTTCATCGAAGAGCTGGGACAATCGGTCGAATAGAAGAAAGGGATAATAAGAATAATGATGATGATAGCATTCAACTACTACTTTGAAAATCTGATAAAATTAGTGAAAATGAAATCTTATTCAATTGAATAAAATTAAATGAACAATGAATTATACATGATGGAAGGAAATGGTGTACAAAATAGCCATTTACACGCATATTGCTAATTTATTAGCGAAAATAACTTTACTATATACAATACGTGAGTAATTTCCCACTTGTTTACTTTCGTCGTGGGGGTTGGTCAACCAAATTTTGCTTTGCTCATTTATTCTCCCTTCTCCCCATTATTGGCGATTTCCTTTGTGCGTAGAAAAGTAGCCATCTTAGAAATTTCGTGAATGGACAAAGGTCAGTTGTGCAGAGCGTGCAATTGCTCATTGAAAAAAATAAATAATTTCAAAGTTATTTCAATAGTAAAACAGGAAATCCAAAACTACTCTATATCTCAAACGTCAATGAAAAATTTAATAGACTTGAAGTTTATTAGTTAATACCTCTCCCAACTCTAATTTCTCTCTATACAAAGATACCGACACGACTAACTTTTTCGGGTGCCCGTTTTACCTCAATCTTGAATAATTTTCCGGTTGTGGACTTTGTCAAGCAGCAACTTTTAAAAATCATGAAAATTCCACATTTCATTTTCGAGGTAATTTCAATAACTTCCCCCCTTTGCGTTGGGAAATTAAAAATTCAATTATTGAAAATTTTTAAGCATGCATTTTAGTCCATTCTATATCCTGTTTATCAGGTGTCCGTATTCTTTACCGAAACATTTTCCAAAAATTTAAATTTTGTAAGAAAAGAATTTATTTTGCAAATTTTTTCAGAATGTCCATTTTACCCCGGATGTCCATAGTGCCCCACCCTCCCCTACGAAAATACATACAGTGTAGCTTTTAGCTGGAATTCCTGAGGTATCATCAAAATTGTTGTCATCAGAGTCATCCTCGTCGTCCTCCTCTTTTTTAGAGCGTCGCTTTTTCTTAGGTTTCTTGGCGGAATCCTCCTCATCGGATTCGTCATCCTCCTCTTCATCTTCCTCGTCCTCCTCTTCATCCTCCTCCTCCTCTTCTTCCTCTTCCTCTTCAGAATGTTGTCTTTTTTTCGCACCCCTTTGTGACCTCTTCTTCGTTCCACCCTAAAAATCAAGAATTGAATCAAAGTACACTGAGAAACACAAAGTTTTTTGAGAAGTACGTCTTTACTTGTATCAAGAAATTCGTGGCTTGAAAATTTTCAAGAGCAAAGTATCTTGCAGAGAGAAAAATAAACTTTTGTCAAAAAATTTTGTACTTGTCCTAAAGACGAGGTCAATTTTTTTATGACAAGAGAGCGATTTTTCAAACTAAGTAAAATTGAATTAATTCATTTAATAGGTTTTTAGCCTCAATTCATAAATATTTTAATTCAAAAACCTCTTGAATAGATTTGAGAACTCGTCTTCTTGATATGAACCAATTGCCCTCATCTTTCGGACAAGTATAAAATTTCTTGACGTAAGATTTAACCTTCTGAGTGTGAGATATTGTGCGCTTGATAATTTTCGAGCCACGAATTTCTTGATACAAGTGAAGGCGTACTTCTAAAAAAAATCTTGTCCTATTAGTGCAAGTTCATTCCCGCCAATCGTAGATATGAATACGTATGCCGGCGAGGATCTTATCTACGCAAAGCCACGCAATATAAACGGAGGGTAATGATTGGTTAACGAAGTTATTCATCGGTACATATTGATTTTCTGCTCATAACAATGAAGAATATCGCGTGAACAACCGGAGAAAATCGGAGCAAATGATAAAAAATGGGTGAATCCATTGTTCCGACTTATGCGAAACATCACCACATGAGAATACGTAATAGACCGCTAATGTCTGACAGTGGCATCAGACATTTTTCACTTCAACAAGTATCGATAATTATTTTTTCATCATGAGAAGAACCCAAACTGAGCTGAAAAATTCCTAACACCCAGACCTCAAAAGTTATCGATCAATTCGACCAAAAATTATAGTAAAATATGTAAATGTAGACTGAATACCTCGACACCAAGCTCAGGAGTCCAATCCTCCTCTGATGCTCCCTCGACTTCCTCGGGATCGTCCGCGGAGTACTCGTCCTCGTCGTCAGACACGTCCTTATTCTTCTTCATGTTGATTTTGTGTGAAATTTTGGATTGCTTGAGTCCACCACGGAGCATACAACAAATTCGGCGAATATAATGTTTTTTCACTGAATAACTTTTTATTGACGCTCAACGAAGTTGTTCCACCGATGACCGGATAATCGAAGCGAGGAATACGCTTTCTTAGCCGCGCGGTGTTGCCAGCTTGATGATATTACCATTCTGCAGATGGCGCAGCGAATCTTGCGAAATATTTCGAATAATAGGGGCGGGTGGGGTAAAACGGACACTTTAGACTTCTCTTTTAATATTCATAACTCAGAAACAAATTGATCAATTGGGCTCAGTTTAGACTCGTCACATAGGGAAAGAATTGTTCTTTGTACTGAAAAAAAAATTATTGAATTTTATCAACATTTTAACCCCTCATGAACATTTTAAAAAAAGTCAAAAGTGTCCGTTTACCCGAACCTCCCCTATAACTTATTTTCGTCAAACTAAACCGAAATTTTAAGTTTTGTTAAGTCGGAATCTAGAGGAGTTTTTGAATGCAAATATTGTTAGGTATTTGCCCTTCTCTTTCTTTCCCGTTATTATTTTATCTTTTGTTTTCTAGTCCGCGAACGCGCCAATCCTTTTTGTATTTCTTTTTATTATTCATTTCGCCCCAAAATTCTTTTAATAAACATTTATTCTTATCAAATATCTCGTATTTTACAATATTAAAGTTTAATGAGTAATTCTTGTTTTAACACACAATAAAATATGATCAGTGAACGTCCTGTAAACAATTTTTAATTCATTTTAGGCATTGGAATTATTTACATTAACAATTAAATTGTGAAAATCGCCGTAGCACCCAAACTATGAAGAATAGACGAAAATTTTCAAATCATGAAGCATCTAGAATTTAATAAGGAATCATTTTTGTCAATTTTCTATTTTACGTGTCGCTCGTAGATTCTGAGATATGTGAAATTGACAAAAAACAAAAATTATTTCTTATCAAATTCTGAATGATTCGTGATTGGAAAATTTTCGCATATCTTTCATAGTTTGGGCGCTAGGGTGATTTGAACAATTAAATTGTTGATAATAAAAAAGTTGCAATGCCTAAAATTAATTGAAAATTGTTTACTTGACGTTCCGTGATCATATTTCATTGTGCAAAAAAAACATTACGCATTAGAACGCGAGTGGTCCCGCAGCTTTAATATATTCGATCTTTCGCACTGGCCCTTCGCGCGCGTTTGTCTCATTGCGGGGACCAGCGTTTTTTAACCAACTAGATCTGTGCGCGCGTTTATCTTTTTGTTGTGAAAATGAAGAAATCGAATTTATTAAACTTCATATACTCATAGATGTTTTATAAATATTGATAATGACTTGAAGAGAATTAAGAGAATGAAGAGTGAAACACCAATGAATCATTTTTAATCTTCGATTACTTTTTTTTTACTTTTAAAAATAATCTGATTAAAATCTGTAATTGTTGATAAATGAGGGGAGGGTTATGAATTGATTTCCCAGAAAACTGAAAAAATTTCTTGAATTCTTCGGAAAATTCCAGTTTTCCAGATAACCGTAGCTCTTCAAAGATTTTTCTCGAAATATTTGGGAAACCGAGGAATTTTCATGAATTTTGTAGAATTTAGGATTTATATATGAAAATCTGAGAAGCAAGAATTGATCATTTTTGCGTATGATAAATATGAAAAAATTAAAATTTAGGAAGTGAAGAATAATTTGTGCGTTAAAAAAATTTAGAAATGCTATGTTTATTTTCTCATGATCAACAATTAGGCAATCTAGATATATTTTGATATAAAGATAAACTTCACACATGAAAAAATGAAAAATATGACGCAGAAAAAATTTTTGCCATTTGAAGAAATTGAAAATACCGGAGATTTTTTTCAGCGACTACTTCACGTGACTTATTGACCAAGCAAAATAGCGAGATATTTCGATATAAAACAACTTCACGTTTCTTCCATCTTTAGTAAGGGCGCGTTTCGCAATCGACTTAGTAGCAGTAGCAGTACTTTAACCCTATCTAATTTCGCTTTACTGCAGCTACAGTAGTTGATTCCGAAACGCACCCTAAATAGGAAACAGGATCTAAGCCTGGTATTATGAATTCATGACTGCCATTGGTTGGAATTAATAGTATATTTCAGCACGTGTGGGGCAATTTCGTCTTTAACGTGTGTGGGGTTTACAGCATGAGCCGAAGGCGAGTGATGTAACCACACACGTTAAGGACGAAATTTCCCAACAAGTCCTGAACAAAATTTTACGTCACGAAGCCTGAAACCGGCTGAATTAGACACGAGACGCGAAGCGTCGAGTGTGTAATCCAGCCGGTTTCAGGCATGAGTGGCATAAAAGATTTTTAGCGGATATAACAAATGATTCTCAAAAGACTGAATGAGAGTGGAATCTGGATTAGAGGCGTGAGGAATTCGTTTATTCCTTTCCAAGTTTTTTAGTTTATTGGGCAGATGGGAATTTCGAGACAATTGATATTCCTCGATATCTCAAAAACCACGCGATAGAATTTAATTTTTTCAACGTCAAAATATTCCTTATCATGATATCCATAAAATCAAGTCATAGTATCTTCACTTAACCAGGGACAATTTGGTAATAATTTGCAGTTTTCATTATTTTTTTATAAAATCGATGTACACATGATAACTTTGAAAGAAATGGAGGTAAGATGTTGAAATTTGATACGATAGCTCTCGTGATATAACAAGACGGAATTTTTTATGGGTGAAACTGGATAAGTAGATTAGAAAATATTGAACTTTTTGTTAAAAACTGTATTTCTCTATATCTCCCAAACTACTGGTCCGATTTTATTTTTCTTTTTTCGAAAATACTCATCTTGCTGTCTACTATCAAGATCAATCAAAATTTTCGAGATATTTGCGTTTTTACCATGTTTTCAGCTGAGAGTGAATTTGACGTTCCATAATACGCGTAAGAGTTGGAATGAACATCGGAAATTTTGGCTACTAGTCAGTATTATCGAGTCGCACTTCTTTTTCATGATGCTCACTGACATTTGAATCACGCACCTGTGCGTGAAGACGTAATTGCCCCGAAACTCATAATTTTCCGAATCATTTGTTCAAATAACTTTCTTATGGAATCTTAAAAAATCTGAAACTTATACGTCTCCTCAAGAAAGATTTGATTTATCACCCACTCGTTTTTCCTCAATAGTTCAATATTCTTTTGTGTGCTATGGAAATTTTCCTAATTGAGAGTGGGGTAACCTCGGAGGTTATAGCTGGAGGGGTTACAAAAATATCCAATTTCATTATTGTTTTTTCTTGAGGCTGAGATCTTAAAAAAATATGCAAAAATTCTCAATGATGCAGCGTACTCAGAAATTTCTACCATGAATTTTCCAATTTTTTTAATTATTTCAACTTTTCATATGAAACACCTTAAGAGGTGTAAATCTTTAATGAATTCAGTAGCGAAGTGGTAAAACGGTACGAGTCAATTTTGACTATTGAGCAATTTTCAATGAATATTTCAGAATCTAAGGGAGGTAGCAAAATTATTGTTATAACCTTTTTTATAGAGCCGATTGAGAGCTACAACAAATGTAATTACGAAAAATTCGCTATCTCCCTTAGATTTGGAAATATTCCTCAACAACTCAACTGGGAGATAAGTCAACTTATACCGTTTTACCACTTCGCTACTGAATTGCTAGCATATTTTGACATGAAATTGCCATTTTTAATTTCTAGAATGAAATTACTCCGAATCCGTTCGGAATAATGAAATTGGTAGAAATAAAAAAAAAAGAAAAGCTTAATGACGCATAAAGTAACGGTCAAATGTCTTCTGTCGGATCGGCTCGGTCCCCTGCTTGTTTTTTTATTTCATCACACTGCGTATAAAATGACGTTTTACACACTCTACACGAATTTTGATGAAAAATAGGGTTTGACACTCGTGGAAAGTATTATTAGACTCATGGACATACAGCACTAGTACTGCTTCATAAAAAATTCGCTGAATTAAAATTGAAGTCAGGTGGTTTCATTGTGTATATTTTTTTTAAAAACAAGATTTGGCAATTAACAAAGACTATTTGGCTATTATTTGTCTTAGCTAAAATAACTGTCATTGGATAGATTTCAATCATGAAAATCGTTTCTTTCTTCGTTTAGAGTCAACTGAGATTTATTGAAAATTGCGAAGAACTGTACAATATGAACTACTGTACAATATGATTATAAGGAACACAAACGTCGATCATCCTTCGATTAATTGAAACACTCTAATTTAATTTATTCAGATTTTTCCAGCAATCATCAAATTCAGTAAGCGTAACAAAAACACAGAAATGAAAATCTCTCAAAGCGTTGAAAAAATCTGAATAATTACACGTAAGAGAAAATACAATAGAAAAATCTAATGCTCTCGGCAAGTACAGAATTGTACTACAATTCTATTCCATTTTTTTCGATTTCTATTGAAAATATAGCATCCTTTACGGGCGTTTTTATTACATATTTAATTGAAAAAATTCAAATTTCTTCAATAGATGACTTATCTTCCTGAAATTGACTATTTTGGTTCTCCTAATCGACTTGGCAGGTGAATATCCCCCTCCTGTTCGATTTGCTCTTTGAACTTCAGGTACTCTCGCTTTCGATCGAAATGTTTCACCTGAGTAATCATAGACAAATAATTGTGACTGTTAGATTTTATAATGGTGGTGATTTAATATCTTACCCACTGTGAGGGACAAAATTTTTCATATTGTTTTCTAAATTCTTGACACTCAGACTCGGACTTTCCATCATCCAGACACTTCCAGTATTCGTCTCTGAGGTCCCAACAGTTTTGACGATCTTCTTTGTTGATGAATGACATGACTGTAACTCATCAAAAATAATAGTGCATATTATTTTCGGACACAACAGAAAAAAGAATTTGACATTGTGTTGAATGGAAGTCTTCAATTAAGGCTCGGATGGATTATCTCTCGAACGTGATCTTGGTTTTTTTTTTTAATTTTGATAATCTGAAATGATCTCCCATTGCGATTGAGTTTTATATAGTCCTAGAGTCTCCAAAAATTATGATTGTACAATCAACAATAGATAATTCTATTATTGGGAAATAAACCCAATAGTTAGTAACTATGATAAATTATCCATTCACTA